GAGCCACGCCACGCTGTGAAGGGTTGCCTCGCCCTTTACCACCACGTCCTCTGCAAGCCATAAAAGCATCGACAATAGTTCCTTCCATCACAGGAACATTTTGAACAACCATTCTTCTTTCTGTAGTCAGCAGCAATGATTCAAGAGTTGGATACGTGATAGGAGTATCACGAGCTTGTGCAGCGCTCACAGTCATCTCGAACGCTGGTCCTAGATTGTTCAACACAATCTAAACAAGTTCTTCATCACTCACAGGTTGCCCAGCAAGGGCAAGGTTGTCAACTATCGCATTCATGCGATCCAGGTAATCCGCCACAGATAGATCACATTTTTTTGGTTTGCAGCAACTCATTTCTCAAGAACAAAATTCGATTTTGGGAGGTGGATGCATACCTTTGCTCAGGAGCTTCCCATGTAGCTCAAGCAAATCGTTTGCTTGCCACCACAGACAAAACAGACACGGTCAAAGATCCATTAATCCAGCTGAGGATCATTTGATCCTGTTGAACCCAGGTTGAGTACGCAGGATTCACATTGGTGGAGCCAGCAACATGCTTTGGAGGACACATCAATGTGCCATCGACATATCCCATCAAGTCCCTACTTTTCATAATATGAAGCATTTGAGCCAACCACAGTGGGTAGTTGGTTCTATCAAGTTTGATGTTCACAACAGTGGAAAAGGGGTGGAAGGTGTTATTTTGGGGATTGGGGTTAACATGAAGGACATTATTTTCACCCATGGAAGCGTTGATGGAAAAGATAACAGGCGAGGATCTTGTCGTTACACAAATCATAAACCAACAGTTTACAAATATTTGAAAATGTATCCTACAAACAAGGAACCCTAATCAGATAATAGTTGTCAACTAAACTGAACTCTCAAAGTGTGCTGGACTCCTTAATTCACGGTGGGTGAAAGTTGGCATTGACTTCGTCTAACAAGGCCAATCCATATGAGGCAACTTCACATGTATTTAATTTGCCAAGGCGAGGACCATGTGACCATCCTAATCAGTCCAACGTCGACAAAAGGCAGCTTTTCTTGCAGGAACAAGTCACCTCCTCTTCTTCCTCTTTCATTCCTCTGGTGAGAAGAACGCCGGTCGATAAATACACAACAAACTCTCTCCACAGAAGAAACCCATCAAAGATTCCAAAACGAAAAGAAAATGGCGGAGAAGGGCAATCAGAGAAGCGATGAAGAGATGGCGAATTCGCAACCGGAGCAGCATCAGCTGAAACGGAAGAAGAGAATCCGATTGGGAATCTACATTACCGTGTTTGTTGTGTTTCAGATCATAGTGATCACCACACTAAGCCTCACCGTGCTGAAGGTGAAGACGGCGAAGGTGAGACTTGGCGCCGTCAACGTCCAGAATCTCACGGCCGCCCCTGCAACGCCCTCGTTCGACATGACATTCGCAACCCAAATCAGTATCAAGAACACAAATCTCGGTCGCTACAAGTTCGACGCAAGCACTGTTAAGTTTGACTACGATGGCGCGACCGTCGGGCAAGTTAACGCTCCCAAGAGCAAGGTCGGAATGTGGTCGACCAAGAAGATTGATGTCACGGTGAGTTTGAGTTCCAAGGGGCTGCCGAGCTCGAAAAACTCCGGACTTCGCAGTGAACTGAGCACCGGGGTTTTGCGGCTGACGAGCGAAGCGACGGTGAGTGGAACGGTGGAGCTCATGATGGTGATGAAGAAGAAGAAGTCTGCGAAAATGGACTGCACTCTGGAAGTTAACTTGTCTACCAAGAAAATTCAGTTTTTGAAATGCGAGTGAAGAAAAGTGACAACTTTATGATGATATGTGTTGTATGTATTATGTATAGCTCCTTAATTAATTAAGATTTCTTTATGGGGTGTGCTATCTACACATCATTTTTTTACTTCTCACACACTCCTTGTTAATTTATGTCCGTTGATCTTCTTCAATTCATCTGATCTGATGGCCGAAAACCAAAAAGGTGTGGAAGAAGTAAAAAATGGTGTATGAATATCACACCCCTTTCTTCAACTTTTGTTTAATGTACCATTTTTTACTTTCGAGGGGTAAAATTCATTTATAAAGGGAATTCCAATTTTCTTTCGTCAACTTTTTCTTCTAGCATTTCGATTGAATAAATTAAAATAGAATAAAAAACCACAGGATAAATGCAAATAGAAAAACGGGAGTGTAAAGACGATTACCCTTATCCAACCCGCATTTTGTTGGATTGGACTGGATTACACAATTTATGTTGTTACCAAAGATTAGGGCATAGAAAATTCCACAACCAAATTCCAAATAAATATCCTTAGATATTATCTATTAAGATAAGATTTGATGATTTGGATATAATTAAGACACATGTGTTCCAATAAAATAATAAGAAGTGTAAATTTATCAACACATGGTTCTGCATGTATTATTGAATCGAAACGCTACATAATAGTGATCCCTTTCCTTATACACCCTTCCCTTTTTTCAAATTGACTTCTATTTCCAGATGGAAAATTACACATAAGCCTAGATGGCATGAAAAAAAAAAGAATTCGATTGAACACCCACAAATAACACAATGAAAGAAAGAAATTATGTTTTTTTTTTTTGAAAAAAAACCTCGACTGTACTTGGAGATTTTTATTTATAACGAAAAAAAAGTTACACGTAGTCCGGGGTCATAATTAGGCCTGGCAATTCCTAACACGACCCGATAACCCGACACGACACGACACAAAATTAACAGGTATTCGGGTCGACACGATAACGAATCGGATCGTTATCGGGGAACCCGATAAGCACATGTTAAGATAACGGGTTGATTTGGGTATACACATGGGTAACACGATACACGATAAGCAGAATATTAATTTAATAATTTTATAACCCTAAACAAATACTATAATTATATAGATATATTAATTTAACAATTTTATATCCCTAAAAACTATAATAATTATATATACTATAATAATTATACCCCCAAAATATTAACTATAATAATTATATATATATATATATATATATTAAATTTTAAATTAAATTTTATACCCCTAAAAACAATAACAATTAATATGCGTCTGCCATCCGCCCTTTGAAAGAAAGAGGGAGGGAAAAAGTTTAAAAAAAAAAAAGGGAGGGAAAAAAGAAAATGATAAGAAAAGGAAACAAAAAAAAGAGGGAAATATGGGTGTACTAGTACCACTGTACTGTGTAGTGCAGGTGAGATGAGGTGCCCGCCCTTTGAAGAAAAAGGGAGGGAAAAAGATTTCAAACAAAAAAAAAGGAGGGAAAACAGAAAATGATAAGAAAGTAAACAAAAAAGAGAGGGAAAGATGAGATACGCATCCTACGAAACTAATTTTAACGATCCAACCATCAAACATTTTTGTATATGTTTAGAGATCGTATACGCCAAAAATTGCAAAAAACAAACATTAAGAGTCAAGTAACGGGACAAAACTTTTCGATGGTTATAAACGAAAAAACACGATTTAACGGTTATTTTAACTCCGATTTTGATGATTTTTTTACATCTACACTCCTTGACCCTATATGAATACAATGAATGAACTCGATCTTCAATTTAAAATATTTACAATAGTGGATACCACAAAATCTTATGTTTTACTTAATGAAAGTATGAATAAACTCTTAAGTATTAGTGAATCTATTGTTTTTATGGGATACGCATTCTACGAAACTAGTTTCAACGATCCAACCGTCAAACATGTTTGTATATACTTCGAGATCACATACGCTAAAAATTGCAAAAAACAAATATTAAGAGATCAAGTAACGGGACAAAACTTTTCGACGATTATAAACGAAAAATTACAATTTAACGGTTCCTTTAACTCTGATTTTGATGATTTTTTTACAGCTACACTCCTTGACCCTATATGAATACAATGAATGAACTCGATCTTCATTTATAAATATTTACAATAGTGGATACCACAAAATCTTATGTTATACTTAATGAAAGTATGAATAAATTCTAAAATATTAGTGAATCTATTGTTTTTATGGGATACGCATTCTACGAAACTAGTTTCAACGATCCAACCGTCAAACATGTTTGAATATACTTCGAGATCACATATGCCAAAAATTGCAAAAAATAAACATTAAGAGATCAAGGAACGGGACAAAATTTTTCGACGGTTATAAAACGAAAAATCACGATTTAACGGTTATTTTAACTCCGATTTTGATGATTTTTTACAGCTACACTCCTTGACCCTATATGAATACAATGAATGAACTCGATCTTCAATTTAAATATTTACAATAGTGGATACTACAAAATCTTATGTTATACTTAATGAAAGTATGAATAAACTCTTAAGTATTAGTGAATCTATTGTTTTTATGGGATACGCATTCTATGAAACTAGTTTCAACGATCCAACCGTCAAACATATTTGTATATACTTCGAGATCACATACACCAAAAATTGCAAAAAAACAAACATTAAGAGATCAAGTAACGTAACAAAACTTTTCGACGGTTATAAAACGAAAAATCACGATTTAACGGTTATTTTAACTCCGATTTTGATGATTTTTTACAGCTACACTCTTTGACCTTATATGAATACAATGAATGAACTCGATCTTCAATTTAAAATATTTACAATAGTGGATACCACAAAATCTTATGTTATACTTAATGAAAGTATGAATAAGCTCTTAAGTGTTAGTGAACCTATATATTAAATTAAATTTAAAAATTTGACTAGTAGTGTATAAATGTTTTTTTATTAAGCTCTTATTTTCGAGTGTAGATGTAGTATTTAAACGATAAATGTGTTTTAATGTTTTGAAATAATATTTATGTGGCAATATGTGGTATGTGCAAATTTAAGAAAATATATATTTTTCTTAACGGGTCGTAATAGGTCATAACGGGTCGGGTCACTTTACCCGTTTGTTAAGGACATGTTAAGATAACAGGTGTGACACGACACGACCCCTAAAGATAACAGGTGTTACACGAAAACGACATGAACACAGACACGATCCGTTTGCCAGTTCTAGTCATAATCCTAACCCCTTGTAATACAAGAACAAAGAATAAAAAATACATGAAAAAGAAAGAAAATTATGTGAAAATGCAGATAAATATGTTACTGAAAGATCACCATAGCAAATCAAAGACAGCAAAATAGGTCATCCATGACTTAGTGCAGATTCACTCCGGATGGTTCTGGCAACAACGGTTGTTCCTGCGTAACTTGAGACTCATCCAACTTCCCAAAATTTTGATCACTCTGGGATGGTTCTGGCAACAACGGTTGTTCCTGCGTATCTTGAGACTTATCCGACGTCTCAAAATTTTGCTTCCGAACAAAACCATGCAAGCGCCCGAAAAGCTGCTTCCTTAAAGATTGAAATGCCATGTCCAATCTCTTCAGCTGCTCCATTGCATTTACATTGTACATGAACAAGCCGTAGTAGAGATCAAAGCTATCTCCCGCTGTATTCTCCACCAAATTCAACAGAGTCTCGTAACCTTTTGTGTTGATTGGTGTCGACTCCAAACCCAATTTCTCCAAAATCCTTCCTACGGTGTGTGTAATGAATTGTGAGCCTGCTGCATGCTTATCATGTTCTGCACAAGACATTTCCACCATTCGGCACCCTTCTCGTGCAAAGATATCAAGAAATTGCTCACACCGTGATACCCTAGATTCTTCACTTCCAATCCTGACCTCATCATAAACAAAAGAGAGACCATTCCACCCGTTCTTACCACTTTCTGGTCCGAACATAGGATGCGTGCATAGAATATCAAACTCCGGCGGCAATGTTTGAAGAAAGAGATTTCTTGGAAATTCTTTCACTGAAAGAACATCAACAAATAAAGTATTTCTCTTAAGCCTATGCAGGGGCAATGACCGCAAAACTTTCTCGGTTGAAAGAATAGACGTACAAAGTAGTATCACGTCAGGATGTTCTTCACATAAATCATCCACATCAGAGAAGTATGAAACGCCTAGTTTATGAGCCACTTCAGAGTAATCTGATCGAGAGAATGCTAGAACCTTATGGCCTTGACGTACAATAGTCTTAGCAAGGAACTGGCCAAAGTTACCAAAACCGACAATTGCAATCTCTAGCCTAGATTCATCAGAAACCTCTGCTTCTTGGTCATGTGGTCGAGCAATTTTCGGCGATCTGAAGGAAACCATTAAAACTATTTTGTTAACAACTCCCCTAATTAAATGGTCCATATATCATCAATCCAAACACCAACCAAACCAAGAAAACCAACAACTTCATTTCGAAAACAAGAACAAAAAAAGCATGCAGTTCAAAGCAAGGAAAGTTGAAACTGTTAACATTACATTTTAAAGTTGGAACATTACCGACCTCGAAGCTCTAGAAGAAGATGCCAATGCAGGTCCATTCTGAGCCCGATTCGCATTATCCTCCTGCAAAGTTCTTCCCTTCTCCGCATTGCCAAAGATCTGGTCTCGCACAGAATTGTGCAGAAGCCCGAAAATCTTTTTCTTCATAGCCTCCAAAGCCACGTCTAACCTCTCCAACATCTCCAAGGTATTCTTGTTGTACATAAACAGCCCGTAATACAAATCGAAGCTATCCCCCTCCGTGTTCTTCACCAAATCCAACAATGTCTCATACCCTTTCGTATTGATCGGAGTCGACTCCAAGTGCAACATCCCCAACACTCTCCCAACCGTGTGGGTGATGAATTGAGACTCCGCCGCGTACTTATCATGCTCGGCGCAGCTCATCTCCACCATCCGGCACCCTTCTCCCTCAAAAATGCTCAGAAACTTATCACACCGCGAAACCCGCGATTCTTCGGACCCAATCCGGACTTTTTCGTAGACGAAAGGAAGCCCTTTCCACCCGTTTTTGGCGCTCTGGGGTCCGAACATCGGGTGGGTGCAAAGAATGTCGAAGTGGGGAGGCAGATACTTGAGCAGCAACGCCTTGGCGAACTCCTTGACGGAGAGCACGTCGACGAACAAGGTGTTGCGGCGGAGGCGCTGGAGAGGCAGCGATTTGAGGACGGGCTCGGTGGAAATGATGGAGGTGCATAGCAGGATGACTTGCGGGTGCTGCTCGCAGAGGTCGTGGGGGTCGGAGAAGAACGAAACGCCGAGGTCTTGCGCCGTTTTGGAGTAGTCGGATCGGGAATGGGCGAGGACGGTGTGGCCTTGCGCGACGAGGGCCTCGGCGAGGAATTGGCCGTAGTTGCCGAAGCCAATGACGGCGATTTTGAGCATGCTTGCGTAGCGGAATTGGGCGGCGAGCTTGGACTCGTAGTCGTAGAATTGGGTGGAGTCGATGGATCGGATTTTGAGGGAGCTGCGGCGGAGAGGGCGGGTGGTTGTTGGGTTTGGGGAAAGGTTGAGGCTTTGGGGGTTTACGAAGGAGGAGGGAGATAGATATGGTTTGGGTGGCGATGGGTAGTGGAGGCGGAGAGATAACATTTTAGGCGGCGGGCGGAGAGGTCAACTCTCGAACGGAATTAGATCATGATTGGGCTGCGCCCAAAAATTTTGACCGTTGGAGCTGGGTCTTACTTAAAAGATGGCTAATTCTAATTGGGTTTAGGGTTTAGGAAGGGATGATTTTTCTCGATCGCTATCAAGTGATGGCAATGCTCATCACTGTACTTATTATTATTGGAAGAAAAATCTCAAAACTTAAATTATTTTAATGTTTAAATAAAACGGTAAGCATTAGTATCGCTCGAGAATGATGAGCAAAAGTATTATCGAAGGAAAGAGGATTCGAGGATTTTGCCTCCAAATTGGCAAATGACTGTCCCCTCGTATATAACAGTAAAATATAAGTTGGTTTTTGAGAAGTTTAACTATAAAACATAAGTTGGTTTCTTTTCAAATTGTTTTTCTTCTTATACGAATGATCACAAGGTAAAAGGAGATTCGAACTCTAAACTTTGAATGTAAACATGAATACTCTTAATCAACTGAACAAGCTCATTACTTCAAATTGTTGTATTACCAATTGTTTGTTAATTTTTTAAGGACAAATTGACCATTGGTGTTACTTATAGTTAATATGATAAAACATTTTCACATTTTTAAGATGATTCGAATCGAAAGTAAGGCGACATGTCGTCCTGATAAACTTTCCTAACCTATATTTACAGCACGGATGCTAAAACATTATTGTTGAATGAGAGCAAAAGGCAACCACACAATGTCTTCAAAACCCGTCACATTTGCATCCCGTTGTATGAAAGTTATCTCTCAACGAGTTCTAAGTTAAACAACACAAAACCGCAGAAGACCGAAAGGCGATATGCATTAATCTAGTACAATGTAAGAAAATGGACAATGACCAGTTCTGAATAATGAAAGTTACAGAAGAAAATCCAAACTCTACTAAGTTCGACCATTATCATCGTCATCATAAACCCTCCTTCAGAAAGGAAAAAATTTGTCTGTCAATTCTCCCGTTGGTTACTAATTTGAGTCCCATCTTCTATTATTTCGCGGAGGAGATTGGAAGGAAGGATCAGCAGATGAACGGAGAGGAACAACTTCCGGGTTTCTGTTGCACCGTTTTCAACTTAAATCTTGAAAAGCAGGCCACCGTGTGTGGCAAAGAACGGAGCAAACACAAGAGACTCAACGGCCATGAGCTTGATGAGAATGTTGAGCGATGGTCCAGATGTATCCTTGAGAGGGTCTCCAATGGTGTCACCGATGACAGCAGCTTTGTGGCATTCTGATCCTTTTGGACCAAGGGTCCTTGCATGCTCCGACGCACCAGCCTATTACACCGGCCAAAATCCAGACGTTAAGACCAAGCAAAAAGCCGATACAGCAAGCATAACCACAAAAAGGCATTTGTAAAACCCATCAAATGCTTACCTCAATGTATTTCTTGGCATTATCCCAGGCACCGCCCGTGTTGGACGCAGAAATGGCAATCTACAAATGCAAATAGGTGTTATTCAGATATAGCATAATTGTCCCAAACAATTGACGAGTGAACAGAAGAAAGATTCAATCCAGCAACTCGATCAGCATTACCTGTACACCGGACACAAGGGATCCAGCAAGAACGCCAGCGAGAGTTTCCACACCAAAAAAGATCCCAACAATGAGCGGTGTAAGCATGACAAGGGCACCAGGCGGGATCATTTCCTTGATGGAAGCATCAGTCGAAATCTTAACACATGTAGCGTAGTCCGGCTTGGCAGTGCCCTCCATGAGACCGGGAATGGTATTGAATTGCCGGCGCACTTCCTCAACCATCTTTAGAGCTGCACTTCCCACACTCTTCATTGTCATGGCAGAGAACCAATACGGAAGCATTGCGCCCACTAACAAACCAATAATCACTTTCGGGGTCAACACATCAACTGTTTTGATACCAGCACGGCTGACAAAGGCACCAAATAGAGCAAGGGACACAAGAGCAGCAGAGCCAATTGCAAATCCCTACAAACAGAAGCACATGTGACTCAGTGACGTTTAAATTTTAATAAAAACTATCGGACAATCAATGAATACTTGAGAGAAAATTTCAAACCTTTCCAATAGCAGCAGTGGTGTTTCCTGCAGCATCAAGAGCATCAGTTCTCTCTCTTATTCTGTGGCTCATGCCTGCCATCTCAGCAATGCCTCCAGCATTGTCACTGATGGGACCATATGCATCAATCGCTAATCCAGTTGCAATGGTGCTCAGCATTCCAAGGGCAGCTACCGCAATCCCGTACATAGCTGCAAAGCTAAAACTAACAAAAATGCTGACTGCAATGGCAAAAATAGGAATAATGACGGATTTGTATCCCAATGCAAGGCCAAAAATGACATTGGTCGCAGCTCCAGTCCGGCAAGAATCAGCAACATCTTGCACAGGGCTACAGCATAATTCAGAGCAACCGTTAGATTCAAAGACAATTGAATTACATATGGAACAGTAAACGCCAAGAAAACTAGTTACCTGTACGCATTGCTTGTATAATACTCTGTTACAAACCCAATGATAAGGCCAGCCCACAAACCAACACAGACACATAAGAATAGCTGCCTGCAAATGCAATTCAGTGTTCAGGTAAAATAAATCAGATAGAGAAACATACAAGTAGATCTATAACCGCACAAGCCTACTTAATCACAGCACTGATTACAATAAATTTTCAAAAAAAGCAAAGCTTACCAGTTCTTCACAACTTTCTGTGTTCCGAAATTGAAGATTGTGAAGGAAGATGGAACGGAAATCCATGTAGCAATCGCAACTCCAACGGTCATGAGTACAGTGGAGATTATGAGCTGCCTCTTCAATGTTGGCTCAATTTCCTTTACAGCCTTGATCTCAAAGAAATCGGTTGCAAATAGGGTAGTGAGCAAACAAACAATGATGCCGATGGAACTGACAATGAGAGGATATAGCATTGCAGTTAGCTCGTGATTGATCCCAAATGAGGAAATGGAAGCAACCACAAGGGCAGCACACGATGACTCAGCATAGGATCCAAAAAGATCAGATCCCATGCCAGCTATATCTCCAACATTGTCACCAACATTATCAGCTATCACCTGTACAAATGGAAAACATCAGTTTTAGAAACATGGAGAATTAAATTAATAACTTGAAACAAACTTCCAAATGGTGGTGTATCTCTTACAGCTGGGTTCCTTGGGTCATCCTCGGGAATATTTCTTTCAACCTTGCCGACAAGATCTGCACCAACATCAGCAGCTTTGGTATAGATGCCTCCACCAACCCTGCCAAAGAGAGCCATGGAAGATCCACCAAGACCATAACCAGTTATAGCCTCGAAAAGACCACCCCAGTCATCACCGTAGTACAACTTGAAGACATTGATAGCAATGTAAAGAACCAACAGACCACTTGAAGCGAGGAGAAAGCCCATCACAGCTCCTGATCTAAATGCAGTAATAAAAGCCTTCCCAACACCTTTTCTTGCCTCCAACGTTGTTCTGGCATTTGCGTAAGTAGCAATCTTCATCCCAAGGAATCCAGAAACCACTGAAGTTACAGCACCAAGCAAAAAGGAAATGGTGCTGAAGATGGCAGTGGCGAGAGCTGGTTTGCACGTCTTGGTTTGGTCATATGTACATGCACGGCTACTTGTACTAAATCCCTCGACGGATCCAAGGAAAAGGAAGATCAAGATTGCAAAAGCAACCATGAAAGCACCTACATATCTGTATTCCGTGAAGAGGAACGAGGTTGCTCCTGTATCACACAAGCATCAAGTTAGTGAAACATAAACTTTACCAACAATACAAGATCAAAGTTACCAATTCCACAATAACTGGCATTGAACCGAACGAGTCCAATAAACAATCATTGGACATGATCATACGTGGTTAATATGAATTAGACTTAAGGAGGGATGTTTAACCATAGCACATTACAAAAAATTCAAATCTTAAAATTGCAAAAATTGGAACTGAATGTTTTTGGCTAGTGGAATATTTGGTAATGCAAGATTCAAGGGATATGGAATTTGATCATTTTGCAAATATTCCACTAGCCAAAAACATTCAGTTCCAATGAATCCCGCGTAGCCAGGAATTTCTACTACAATTCCAAATTGGCAAGATTAAATCATGTTAAATTAAGACATTCCAAATCCAAACTAAACTATATGAAGCTGAGACTCAAAGCTCGGTTAACATAATACATTTTGTTCCCAAGTTTAATAACAATAACAGTAATCCTAGAATTGTGACACAATATATATATATATAGGAGACGGATCCGTGACACCACTTTTTTAAACAACTTTTGACAAAAGTTTTTGGGACGCCCACTCTATAATATATTTCAACTATTCGAACTGTCAATCATTTCAATATTCCTCAAAGATCATGTCTAACAAAAATCACTCAAATCTGAAATCATATGACCGTTGGATTTAGGGTTTAAGGTTCTTTGTAAAATCATACTCGTTCATTTTCTTAACTACAAATGAATGTCATATTGGTTTTAAATTTGTCTATTTTTTTTTTATAAGGATGATCTATTCAAAAGAAAGAGAAAGACGTTCTAGATTATTGAAATACATTACAAAGTTTTCGTAAAAAGTTCTGTAAAAAATAGTGTCACAAATCCGTCCATTATTTATATACCTATATTGAAAACATAAGAAAATTAAAGTAAACATCTCACTGAATTCTTTTATACATAAAAAATACACAGATTTTCAGTACTCCAGAACTATCGACCGTAACCCTAGTAAACATATTAATAATTTAATCACACATTAAACACAGCTGATAAAACGACGTCGGATACACAAAAAGGTGACAACTTTATTTTTTGCTCTGTTTGGCCTGCAAACTGGAGAACTCAAAGCTCAAAAAAAAGGGACACGATCACAACAATTAAGCATATAAACCGAACCCCGAAAACCAAATGAACAAATCCGACGCCGTTTTATCAATCAGAATTTCAAAAGCCGTGAACTTTAGAGAGAGAGAGAGAGAGAGATGGTTGTGGAAATGGACCTTCTGAAATGGCGTTTTGGATTTCGGCGCATTTGAGGACGACGTTGTGGTCGTTACCGCCTTCTTCTTCCTCGATGAGGTACTCGTTGTGCCCATTTTTCCCGGAGTTGGAGTCCCGGCCGCCGCCGGGGGAGAGCTTGACCTGCGAAACGTACATCCACTGGACCAAGGAGAAGGCGATGCCGATCACCGCACACAGCGGGATCAAAATCTCGGCCCAGAGATCTGGGAGTATCGTCGCCCCCATAGCTTCTTTGCCCAGAAGAGGAAACACAGAGAAACAGAGGAGGCTTTGGAGTTGTAGAGAGAGAATGCGAACGAGGATGCGTCTGTGGATGGTTTGAGTGGGTTTATATAAGTGAGAGCGAGGATTAGGAGGGTGGCTTTTTAATTATATTTAATTAAAATGATTAAAAAAAATTAAATAAAGTATTAAGATTAAAAAGTTAATTAAGGAATAAAATTAAGGAAATTAGCAGTTTGTAGGGAGTGATGTTTAGGTCTATATCCATGGAAAATGTCCGAGTCTGAGGTATTAATTTTTTTACCACAGTCAAAATCTTTGCTTTCTCTTTTTTTTTTTTTCTTTTTTTAGATGATCTTTCCCTATTAGATCCTAAATTTGCTCAATTAATCTCTGTTATTTAAAAAAAATATATCATCCATAATTACAAAAACTTAATCTTTTTAAGTGAGCAGAAACAATCAACACGGTAATATTTTGTTACTAACCAATCAAATCTCGAATCTTTCTGTTAATCTATATGTCTATTTTTACTTAACACGCTTTTCAGTTTTTTATCGTTGAATATAACAAATTAAAGAAAATTAATAACAAAAAATTAATAATTTTGTTTAAGAGGTAAAAATTAATGTTAATTATTTACCGTGGTTAACAAGTTGGATTTATAATCAGTGGCGGATGCATCGAAGGGCAGGCTCAGCTGAACCCCCGAACTTTGGTGAACGTCCATGGATACCTTAGGTGTTGACCCTCTAAATTTTGATGAATGTCCATAGATACCTTGGGTGCTGCCATTTTGAAGATTAGAGTTGGCTTCATACATGCCCTCCAACTGACTTCAGGCCTATCAAGACTCGGTGAATGTCCATGGATACCTTGGGTGCTGCCCCTTGCATACATTAACAGGTGGGCAATATGTCTTTCCAAATGACTTTAGGTCTATCAAGACTCGTTGAAATGACTATATGCATGCTATTTCTAGTAAAAAAAAATTGCGCGCAATACTCTATTCTTACTAACCCTCATAATATTATTTCTTGAATCCGCTACTATTTCTAATTCACGTATTTGTTATTACAGTGTGACAAACTCATTGAATACTCTCTCGCCAAACATGTTAAACATGACAATGACACCTTTCCTTAGCCAAAAGGAAGTTTCTAACTCTCCAATACCAAAACGACAAGTGAAACCGATGGAAAACGACACACTGTCTCATTAACACTAGCAAATAACAACACTACCACCTACATCGTTCTGTTAATGTACGAGAACTCATGACATGCTGTTGTGTTCACGGATTAGGTTTTATGTTTTCAAATGACCGGAAATGCTTTTGTTTAAAATATTTTTAAATTATTATCTAATAAAAATACAAGTGAATTTTAAAAAATTATTTAAAGTGTTTTTTGCAACAAACACTAAGGATTCGTTTAGATGTACTTTTAAAATGATTAAAAGCGTCTTTAGATAAAATGTTTTTGAATTCCAAAAACACTTAAAGTGTTTTAGGTATGAAACATCAATTATGTGCTTCTTTTAAGAAACACTTTAAGCACTTTTATAAGATTTACTTGTATATTTACTAAAAATTAATTCTAAAAATATTTTCACAAAAAACGTTTGATCATTTTAAAAACACATTTAAACAAACTCTAAAACTTTTTAGAACCAAAAACTTATTTAAGCCCTAAACGATGAAAATCGGGTGAAAGCTGACGTGGAACTTATTCGGATAACTCTTCACCGAACGTTTATTCCGTGCCCCCTACGGATCTTTCCTTCTTTGTTAAGCGTTTTATCCTCTTTGCAACTTTTTTATTTTTTATTTTGTTGTGGATTTGTATTCCTTTTTTTTTACTTTATTGGCTGACACGTGTGATTATTATTTGGAGGTTAAAAAGTCCATGTTATTCACATTCTATCTCTCACTACATGCAAATGATCCACCAAATTATGTATTTGGAGGACCCCACTTCATATTCTTCTTCCAGATAGATTTTTCAATATGCCGGAAATACTTCTCTGTACATCATGGTAATAATAAAAGTGGTTAATTTTTTTTTTAAGTATCTAATCGCTTGTATTATGACACTTAATATTTCAAACTATTTTCTCTAGCACATTAAAAAATTTCTCATCATCGTGATTATTACAATCTCATATTTTTTAACCTTTCGTTGTGTAATTAGCGAACGAAAAATATAGCTTGAAAAACGAGGATATAACAACGTATGCGCACGTAGTTTTCACGCTTGCATGTCTGCAATATCTCTTTTATTTATAGAATATATTTTGAAAGAATATTCTACCAGCAAAAAAATGGAAAAATCAATACATGATACGTGTGGAATACGATGAAGATTTGCAGTATGTAGACGACGAGAGAAAGTTGCAAAGGTTGTAGATGAGATAATGATCAACTGTGACGAAAAAAAAAAGAATAAATAACGGTTAACAATAGCAATTATTTACATCTATTAATCAGTGCTAAAAATTATCCTAATTGTCTACTTAGTTAATATATTTTTTGTCGTCTCGTATTAATTTATTTGTTGGAATTGTAAATGTGTAGATTAAATTTACAAACTAAATGATATGTTATCAATAGGAAATGAGCAAGTTTATCAACGTTAAAGTAATAATTCAATCACTAACTTCCATGTCACTTAGTTTACAAAATTTAACTTACAAATTTAGTCTTTTTAGCATTACTCTTGTGGTTTTTGTCCCCGTAAATATGACGGGAACAATCATGCATGTGGTTGAGTTGGGACGTGAGACATTATCCTACCACCTATATTTTAATAGAAAATTTAATATAATTTATCTGCATGCACATAGAGATCGACCGTCGAATAAATAATTGATCTGCATGCATATATGGTTGGGTGGTTGGTTGGCTGAGTATAGTGAAGGTGAGACTGTGTTATCATGTCCGGCCAGTAGTCGTCCATGCCAGCAGAGCCTTTCCCTTCAAGTTTCTCCACCTTGCAGTTGCACCATTTCCGATAGATTTGGCTCACCATAATTCTTCATAATCTACATCTGAAGGCCTCATGGCATTGGTTGCTAACCTTTTGGAGTCTCTTCTTGTTGATTGTTACCACACGAATAAGAGTAATGTTATTCTAAACACACAGAATTGACGTACTTAGATATGTATAGATGAGTTTTACACAATAATAACATACATTTCTTTTATATCAGCAGTGTATGAGTTATGTATGTTTAAATGTAATTATTTGACACATAAATTATTGTTTACGATAAATTCTATAACAATTGAAATACATTTTTTATATAGAAAAGGAGACTAATTGGTGTCTTCGCTATACAGTTCACTCTTTCAGGGACCGAGAAGAAGCACTTTAGCCTTTTCTAACCACCATCGTGTGATTCACTAGCATAAAAATTTGAATTATAAAGTGTCATGTAGAATACGGACCTGAAATTCATCTTCAATCATTGAGCCACCCTGCAGTGGTTTATAACAATTGAAATATGAATATAGAAATGAAAATTTGATTCCGATAAGAAGATGAACATGATTATGCCAATTATGCATAGTGACTAACGTGGCATCAAACTCAACAAATATTCTAAGAATTAGAAAAAGATAAAATTCGAAACGAGAATAATAAAAAGCCAGGAAAAGACTATAGTATATGCAAGTGCCAAGTGTTTTTCGGACACGTGGACTGTAAAGTGAGGTAGTCCGAAGTCGAGTCAAGAGAATTTTTGAAAGTGCTTATGTGGAAAGTCGTGGATATTTCATCTTCCATCTTATCCCACGCGGAACCACCACAAGTGTTGCGTGAAAAAGCCATTCACAAGAAAAGTGCTTTTATCTATCGTTAAATAAGCGATGTTAGAAAAGTCATCTAATTAATTATATTTTGTAAGCTACAATGTACATAATGTGACGATTAATCGTTAAATTATTTTTTTAATCACGAAAAAAGAAAAATAATAATCAATTGTCACATCACGTAATCTACATATATAACACATTCATGTCAAAATGAAATCTAACTGGTAGTAAGGCGCCAAAGAGGGAAATAATATGGTTATTAACAATCCGAAATATTCTTTTAAGTATGTGACAATTAAGCGTCTCCAACCATGCTTTTTTATTTTATTGCAACGTTTTAACTAAAATTATTACAAAATTTGCTTTAAGAGCTCTATAAGAAAATTGTACTCCAACTGGACTCCCTGCTTTAGAAAATCTTAATGAACCTAAGTCAATAATTAGCCAATCAAAATTATTTATTTATTTAAAATAATATGAAAACAGTAAGCATTAATTAGAGATAGCAACTATAGGAGAAATTTTTTATTGTGACAGGAACACAGATGATAATTGGTACATTACGTGTTTTTATGTAAGTAATGGGAAATTTTACTTTCAAAGTTATTAACTTTTTGACGCACATATCTTCCCATTTGTATAATGACACGTGATGTACCACCTCGTATACCGGTCACATTGAAAAATCTCTTCAATTATAGGAGCTTCTTTCTCCCTACCTATATTTTAAGCTTCACTATAGCAGTAGAACAAAAGCAACCATCAGATTCAAAATGAACCATTGTTCCAATAAGTACATCGTCCGACTCAACTCTAGACTTTGTCTTCGTGACTTTGTAATGCATTTGGTTTGAGCAATTATACTACTGAAAATTACAATTTAACTTTCTTAGAGTGTCAAATAACAGCTTCCGAAAGAAATTGAGAATGATGCTTGTATCATTACGTGGGTTACGGGTTACCCCACTTTTGTCGATCTTCGTTCTACCTTCGAAGTCCACTTCGGCCGACGATGGGGGCTTGAATTCCGAGTCGTAGATCTCCCTTTGGGCCTTTAACCACCATTGCAATTTGCAATTTAGAAATAGAGTTTGAACCTATAATTTTCCTTTGAACTCTTTGTACACAAAAATAAAATAAAAAATGAATCTAAATAATATTTTTGTGCCATCCGACATCGTATTGGTCTCACATCCTCACTTATGTTGGTGATTGCCATATGCAATAGTCATGTTCAATAATCCTCTTATATGGTGGAGATCTTACTTCAATACCTAATCCTAAAGAAGATTTCAAATACGATTCACATAAATAATGTTAATCGTCTATATAAATTTTAATACCTAGTTGTGATTATCCTTATTACCATTATGTAACTTTATTTTTTTGGTGAACTAAAGTTTGAGGAGATGTCACTTAATACTGCGATCTTGTGTTATTTTTCTTCAATTATAAGTGAGAGGTCTTAGGTTTGATTTTCGTCAAAGGGAATTTGAACTCATTATTGCTAATCCATTGTGAGACTTAGCTTACTTCCCACCTCTTTAATGTATATAATATCGTTTGTTCAAAAGTGTGGGAGAGATTAGTTACTTTCACCACTAGCGTTAGGGCATACCTACAATCTCGAGCTGAAAAGACTTACTCGTGACACCTAACTATCAGCTGTCACTGATATGAATTTACGTAAGAATTTACATATTACACACCAATGCGAATTACTGGCTCCAAGACTCAAACTTTGGTGAGGAAACACACAAAATTAAGACGTTACCAACTAAGCCAACTATAGTTGGCAATTACGTAGCTTTATTGTCATATTGTATATGCCTCGAAAGTTTTAGTAAATATCGTATTCCTTTGAGAAATGTCGTACTGTGAATGCCTCGAAAGTTGTTGTAAATATCGTATTCCTTTGAGAAATGGCAAATGCGAAGCATTAAAAGGGTCATTAAAAAGGAAAATATGAGCTACTCAATATTACGGTTTGGTGGTATTATTTTTCTTTGAAAGTGAGAGGTTTTAGGTTCGAATCTCGTGGATGGTGAATTCGATATCAAGTTAGGTTCTGATCAAACTCTCGATCATCTTAATGTAAAAATATCGATGTACTTACAGAGAAAAAAAAAAAAAAAAAGTGGGTTGGGTTCTGATGTGCACGTGTTCCCTTAATCACTTTCACCTCCACCACATCTGAAACTCTCTCTCTCTGTATCTCTCACCGTTTGGTTCCATTACATTGCGTACATTTGGTGACCGTACGTTCGAGTTCGAGAGACAAAAGCAAGAGTGTTTGTCCGCTGAGACCGCAGAGCCACAGATCGAACTAAAACCCCAAACACAGAACCTCTTCCTTCATCTGATCATTCAATTGCTATGAGCAAGAGGAAGCTCCCCTCTGATGATCACAGCCCTCCATCTTTCTCTCCTCGTTCTTCGGGTAATTAATCTTCTTTTTTCATGCCAATTTCTCGTAAAAATGCCATGAAACAAAGAAATTTAATCTAAAGAAATCAACTTTTCTAAAGGGCATTCACCGAATTATCAAAAGACTCCACCTTTGTTTTTTGTTTAATTAAAACCCCAAATTTGGTCCTTTAATCCAAATGTTGCAAGTTATTGTGTTTCTTTGTTATTTTACTTTCCCATTTGGTATGATTATCTGTTAGTTGATCAATTACTTTTGCTTGCTTTCTTAATTAGTTCAGAAAAAAGCCGGAATTGGAATTTGAGTTTTTTTTTTTTGCCAATTTTATGGGGTTTTGTTGGCATTTACAGCCTCAGAACACGAGATTCGATCGAAAAATACCCAATTTGATTGTGTTGGAAAACTGTTTAAGTGAATTTTTAATGACTTGTATTTGTTTGATGTTTTTGGGGATATTGCAGACACCATGCCGTGTTCTTCTGCAATGGAATTATTAACACAAGAGGTTAGCTGTTCTTCCCTTTTCGTGGTTTCGTGGTTTCGTGTTTTCGTGTTTCATCCACGTTGTGTAATGAGTTGTTGATAAATTTGTAGGTCTAATGAACCCCTTTTGATCGACATTTTGCAACTCTGTTTACAATTTCTTCCTATTTCGTGTATTTGGAGTAGTAGTTATTTGTATTTTTTTATCTTTGTTTGAAGCTACTGAATCCCTACCCTTTTGTTATACAGCATCATCCAAGCCTCGGGCGATCAATGTTCTTTAAACGCTCACGTCATCACTATGCGCACCAGTACTCTCGACGTAACTCTGGCAATCTTGCTAACCCATCAACCTCTCGCGGAAAAGGAGTGCCTTTGCGTGACGATAAGCTCTCCTATAAGTTGGCTACTCAATCCAGCTCCGAGGCCAGACGTCATTCAGGTTTTATTTTGAATTGTCCCCTTTTTCTTCTCCTTGTTTTGTTCAACTTCAAAAGAACTTAATTAAGCTTTTTAGTATTTATGGAAGGTCTCGAGTATCGAGACAACGAGTGAGAACTCTAGTATGCTACATGGATGAATATTTCCTATGTCAGATAGGAGTGTAGGAATTTACTTCTTTGCGTATTGGATGACTATATATTCAATTTTCCAATGTGCTCAATTTATTTCCTTGATCAGGACTTTTCTTGAAGAATGCTGTCAGGAGTCTTGTTTTGCTGTATTGACTTTATTTTTTCAATTCCTCCCCAGAAACCAAGGAAAAGCCCTTTCTTCGGCCAGCAAGAATTAGATCTGGTTTCTTGACAACGGATGCTGTATCACCAGATCCAGGGAAGATGGTATGTGCGATTTGCGACAAGCTGTTGAGGCGTAAACCTTTCTTTCTCGGTAGCACACAGTCTTCTACTGAAGTCTCTGTTGTTGCAGTTTTAGTTTGCGGCCATCTTTTCCATGCAGATTGTTTGGAGCAGAAAACAAGTTTTGAAGATAGACACAACCCCCACTGTCCGTTGTGTGCGGGATTATTGCCCAAGGTTGAAGATTCAAGAGAGTAGGGATAGTGAGAACAGCATTTGGGATTTTGTACTGGAAACCTTTGAGGCCTGAACTGTATTTTCTTGCGAACACCAGTCTACAACTGAACTCCGTGGCAACCTACGTTTGCAGCCATGTTTTCATGAGACTGTTTCAAGCACAAAACAAGTTTGAAGACAGATGCTACCCACCTTCTCCATTGTGCGTGCCCGGGGTTCAAACCTTCAAGGTTGGATTCGAGCAGGCAGAGGTTGGTAGTAAAGTTGTTAACTTGACTCCATTAATAGCCTAATACTGATAATCTTGATGAAAGAATCACAGATGGATCGTCGGAAGCTTTCTTGAGCAGATTAACTCGTAGACAGGCTAAAACTTTCGGTTTGTGCTCTGACGTTGAAGTGCCGTTTGTATTCATCAGTAGCTAATGACTGTTTTTAATGCCCTAGAAGTTAGAGGAAGCAAACTTTGTGATCATGTAATGTACAAATTCTAGCTGTTTTCTACATTTCTGCAAATTTCATTTCTCTCTGTAAAAACGACCTGGAAGGCCGATGACGCGTTCACGTGTAATGGGTGATGGATTATATTTTATGTGAAGTCATGTGATGAGTGAGACAAAGAGATGGCGATAAATTCAACGCTGATGGCGACAGTTAACCTGTTAACACATGCTTTGTTGGAACAGCAAGATTCGTAGTACACATTTCAGGAACAAGACGATTCAAATGCGAAATTTACGAATTTAAAACTCTAGACAAACTCAAGAACAAAACAACCTCGTCACAAACCTAGTTCAAAGAGACCAGTTCGGAAAATGTCGATTAACACTGTACATGAATTCATAACAAACAAGCATCCAAGACGGTATGATTCAAGGATTACATCAAGGGATACTTGATGGAGGATCTACGGGAACGATACTTGATGAATGAGCATCTACGTGGTCGATACTCAACGGAGCGGCATCTATGGGGACGATACTTGATGAAGGAGCATCTGTGGGGACGATACTTGATGGAGGGGCATCGACGGGGATGACGCTTGATGAAAGGGCATCTACGAGGACGATGCTTGACGAAGGAGCATCTACGGGGTCCATACCTGATATAGGAGCATCTATGAGGTCCATACTTGACAAAGGATCATCCATGGGTTCCTTGCAGGTTTTTTTATTATGCCCTGAATCCTTGCACCTAGAGCAAAAAACTGTCCTTGCCGACAAACTCTTTGCTTTGGCCTGGCTTTTCTTTTCTTGTTGCTTGGAGACTGATGGAGGAAGCACATGTGCTGCATCAGTAATCTCACCATCCGAAGACTCAAAAGGGGCCAATGCAGAGTTTATGGACTCAGAATACGTCAAACGATAGGTGTCAGATTTATAGTAACTCGAACAATAATCATACACATCCCTACCAGTGCAGTTGAAGACAGCAATAGCATGGCAGCATGGTAGACCACTTGCATTCCAATCCAGACAACTACAGTACCGTTCACTAATATCCACAACGTTGATGGAATCCTTGTGAACCTCAAAGAGAGTATCGGATGAAAACAAGACTTTAAGACCATATGCGCAACAGGCTTCTTGTTGCAGTTTTTCCTCCTTGGATGGAGTAAGTTTTGTGGGCCACTTACTTGAATCTGTTCGACGAGTATTTATCAACTCCATCAACTTAGAACAAAGCGCTTCAATCTTTGGCACAATGGGTAACTCCTGTACTTCCTCTATCCACTTGATGTATGTCTCTGCAACATCTGATGTGAAATGGTTATAGGGCTCTCCTTTAAATAATGCATTTGTCCAACATTCTGGTTCGATTTGCTGGACCCAGGCATAAGCTCGAGCAGAAACCCGTCTAATTTGATCAATACTTGTTTTAAAGCCATCAAGTCGGATTGCATGGGCGGCAGCCATAAAATTGATTGGCAAGGAACCCTTCCCATCTCCATGGTATGGACCATTCAAGTTTCTCATGAAGCTTTGCAGAAGGTGGTGCATAGAATATCCATGGTGGGCATTCTCAAATACTTCGAGCACTGATTTCTTTAGTCCCTTCTCTCTATCCGAGACAAAAGTTAAGGATTGAGTAGCTGAAAGTACAGATCTTAACTGCTCCAAAAACCACCGCCAGTTATCATCATTCTCAGTGTCAACGATAGCAAATGCAACCGGGAAAAGACCGTCATCTCCATCCAAAGCAGTAGCTGCCAAAAAAGTCTCATGGTATCTTGATTTTAGAGATGCAGCATCGAGAAAAAGAATAGGGCGACAACCATTCTGAAAACCATGTATTGAAGCATGAAAACACACAAATAGGCGCTGAAATCTACTCTCATCAACAGTGAAAAGCTTAATATTACTGCCAGGATTTGCCTCTGTCATCTTCTCACAAAATCTCGGTAACTGGTCATATGCCTCTTTATACGAACCTAGAAGTCGCTCCTTGGCATCCTCAACTGCACGCCAAACATGAGTGTAGTTCACAGCAATCCCAAAATCTTGACGAATGATGTTGGCAAGTTCTTTCGTCTTGAGATGTGGGCGCTCAAGTAATCTGTCTTTCACGATGCTAACCAACCAACTTCGTTTTGGATGATAAGATTTCATGAACTCTGATTCACAAGTATGCGTTTCAGTCATACTCTTTATCCTAAACTTTTTCACAGATGTGTCCCAAGATGCAAAAATTTTCCAGGAACAGTCTTCGACTATACATCTGCCACTTGCACGGTTAGTATCATTCTTTTTTAACTTATACATGAAACGATGGGCAACGGCATATTTTTGCAGCGCATCACGAAATTCTTTAGCACTGTTGAATTCCTGTCCAATGCCAGTGATAGCATTTTTCCATATTTTGAGTAAAAGTTCAGGTGGAGCATCATTTGATTCCACTAGACTAGCCTGGATAGGGTCATTGCTAGTACTACTATCTTTACTGTGGAGGATATCTTGCCTCTCATCCACGTCATCAGTTTCTGTAGCAATGTTCCGGCTAGGAATATTCTTCTTCTTGGACATATGTTTTCTTTTCTCCCCAACATGGTCAGTGACAGAACCAATGGTAGGACCGTTGGCACCAATTTTCCAGGCAGCAGTGCGCCTTCGCTTCTTAACAGTATCAGCAGGGGTACAGTTCATATCAAATACGTCCAAGCTGTGCTGACTTGCATCAGCAGTAGCAGATATGGAACCAGTTGGAATGGAACTAGTAGCATCCGCATTATCGGTGGATGTAAACGCAGGGGACATGGTAGGCATATGCACCACTCCACCTGCAGTTTGGGTCCTTTCTTCCACAGACATAATACATCCAGGTTGTTTTGATAGAGGACTAGCATGTAAAGTGGCAGCTGAAGTCGTGAAGGCGGGAACAGGGGTCACTGATTCAGCCACTTTTATCCCACATGCCCTGCAAATGAGAATTTAAACTTTCAACGCAAGAAAACTTAGAAACTTACAATATGAATATGCTTCAACTATTGTAAAGAGGGCAAATGGGCAATGTCATCATTTCTTTAAAAGCAAGGAAATTGTGATCCAATCAAACAAAACAAAAGAAAGTACCTTTTTGGTGTGTTGAAGGCTTCGGCATCAAAACCTGCTTTCCCCTGGACAAAAACATCAGCAGTTACTGAATTCCCATGGAATTCATACATCCTTTTCAGGTCCTTATCATTGGATAAAGTGATGAGAGTTCGCGTATTTCCTGGGAGAAAATACTTCATGATCACTGATTTATATTCTAAATTCAACATTTCAGCCAATTTTAACTTGAGATCATCAAATCGGGTTTCATGATTGATATCTACTGCCTGTGCATCTCCTCCCGTATATGACATGGATCCATCATCCTTGACAACAAATTCCCCACCAGATTGGCAGATCAGGATAAGCTTTGTCCTCGCCATCACAACGACCTTCAAACATTCGAATAAAAGAATTAAAAGCTATAGTTTATAAATATGCTAAATTCATAATTCAGTTCCCAAAACTATCTACTACTTTCAAAGTTTACCACGATCTAAATAATAAGTACGCAAAAGCCAACCGTGTCTTAAACATCAGTTACTATTGTCGATCAAAAATGAATTCACAAATGTTAGTATTTAATTGTTAGAGTCTCACATTCTGGTGTATTTTTCATGCCTGCGGGCGCAGAGTGTGTGTATACTATTAGCTACTTACTAGAGCTTGTGTGCATACAATATCGAAAAACCATTGTCCCACCGGGCCTGCTTTACTAACATATACAGCCACGCAACCACTATCAACAAAGCAAAAACCCGGCTAAAAACATCAATGGAAGCACACCAGGAACTGTAAACACTCCCTATAAAATTACAACAACAACAAAACCTTATCCTACTAAGTCGAGTCGGCTATATGAATCCTAGAACGCCACTATGTTCGGTTTTGTGCCAAATTATCAGAAAACAGCATGTGGGTTATCATCTGATCCCACCATCACCAACAACCCAGCTCCTAAATCAGTAAATTTCCCGGTGGGTTAACGGAAAAACAGTTTAAAGAAGTCAACCAATCCAACCCAAATGATCATCCTCTGAGAAATCCAGCAGATTAATCCCCCTTTTCCGAAAAAAAAAAAAAAAACCATTAATTCAAAGTCCAAGATCACGACTTTAGCCCCCCAGAAAAACCCAAACATTCAACTTAATTTCCAGAATTATATGAACACTAACATTGGTTGAATTGGGTTACTAATTTACTCCTCCATGAAATTTATTTGTTACCGACATACCAGAAAGACAGTATTGGTATAAAGAATTTAACTTTTAGGTGTGAGGGGAGAGAAGAAGAAAGCGCTTACCAGAGAAGGAGGTGCAGGGTGTGATGAAACCCTAGATTTTGGGGCCTTCTGGAAATAACGATAAAAGAGGTGAATGATGCAAAAGACTTGAAAGCATAGAATGTCAAAAGGGCTCTTTGGAGAATTAGGGTTTTGGAAAATTCCAAACTTAACCCCAGTTAGTCACGCTTCCAAAATTCATAGAAACCATTTTATTTTATTATTTTTTATTTTTTGTAACAAACGATAGCATTGGAGGTTAATTAGTTAGTTGTTAGAAGGAAAAAGAATTGGTGAAGATCAAGCCCCCACCAGAGTGCATAAATATAATTGTTTTCCATTACTATTATGGAGCTTCATCTGCATCATTCATTCATTTTTAATTCGACACAATCTTATTTAGACAAACAGAGAAAAATAGAAGGATAACATGTTAACTATTACTACTGTCTATTGATATTTTTTTTCATTTGAAAGTGAGAAGTCTCAAGTTCGACACATGGATAACGATGACACATTATATTTATGTTGAGCTCGATACTTAATGACTATCTTATTGTGTAGTCTAGCCTAATTTCTTTTCTTTAATATAGAAAAGTACGGCATAAGACAAGACTATAACAATGTAATGATTAATCTTCACTTATAGTTCCGCTTCTTGCTTTAATATAAAGACTTGTTGGAATCTGATTGGTCCAACAAAGAGTCGAATCTATGACGTGGGCTTCAAATGTGGCATCAAATGTCACCGGTGGCGCCGGTAGTACACAACAATTTTTTACCCAATTTCCGAATAAAGCATAAACATTTACAGAGGCCTGCATGACCTGTTTTTCATGACCATAAGGAGAAACTTGACTAGTCATTTCATCCACCCCACCTCTTCCTTTAAGTAATAAGATTTGGTGTATCAATATTAATGGTTGACAGAAACTCTAATGAACATAAATACAAGGCAAGGTTCTTGCTCATACCATGAAAAAACTTAGATGAAACGTCCTATTAGTTCGAGCTGAAGGGGTCGTGAGTGTGCATAAGATTTTAGCTAACTAACATATTACTTTTCAAGATTGCAATGCGATTTCCATCGTAAGAGAAGTCTGCACATGTTTAAGTCTTTTCCGCACAGTTCTATCAAGTTGATTCATCTTTACCACATGACATGTTGACATCAAAAACACTATCAATCAATTATAGTCTATGGGTTCTTCCATATTAGTGTTTTTAGTTGTTATGAGATCTATGAAGTCTATCTCACACACTCTTAAATGTTTTATGTTTTTCCAAAACGAAGAGTTTATAAGAGAACAAAATACAAGACTAACACAAAATTAGGAAAGTAATCTATCCTAATATGTTTTTTTTTTTCTCAAAAAGAAGCATTTATAGGGTAGCTCTTACAAACAAGCGGGATTTTCTCTATTAAAGTTCTACATGCCCCATATTTGTGAGATCTGCCATTCAAATTAGATGATCAGGTTATCCTACCGAAAATTTTCTCCCATAAGAGACTACACAAGTATGCTCGATTTGGTAGTCTCAATCGCCATTGAGTGTCCCAAAAAAGCAGAAAAGCAAATGATACAAGCTAAATGAGAAATGGACATTCCTTTACTTTTTCTCCTCACTTTCTCCCATCCTCCCCAACGGCTCCACCTCCATAGGACCACCATAAACAGCCCTAAAGGTACGTACTTCCCCAGCTGTGCTATAAGTCTCTCATCATATCAACAATAAGAAAAAGGCCAAAGCAAAAGGCTTACTATACACAAGATCTCATCAAGGAAGCTGCTGCTTCTGCTGCTCTGCACATCATTGTCCCACATAAAAAAATACAAATGCTCTGGAGTATTTGATACTTCGAGCTTTATAACAGTTAGATCTTGGTTTTTATACAAACATTTAGTGGTGAAAAAATCTGAGGTATCCCAGAGTATCATAGAAAACCTCGAGAAAAAGATAACATCAAACGTAAACACTGTACTGCATTTTCTAAAAGTGAATAGCATTTTACCCTAAAGAAACCAAAAGAGATGATATATAACTAACTGTATAAACTGTTGGAAAGAAGAAGCGAGGAAACTTCACAGTTCATCATCTTCTGTTCTTGTAACTTTTGACTGTTTGTTTGTGCCCTAATTTTCAACTGTGGAGTGACGACACACTGCTAGGGTTTTTAATTCTGCAATTATTGTAAGACACCATGAAGAAATGCTCTTCTTCTAGTAGGGTTTTTTTTTACGGTCATGGTCCCAGAGCTTATGTCTGAGTTTCATTTTGGTCCTTCTCGACCAAGTCCAACTTCTCTTGCAATTGGTTCTCCTTAATTAAACAGTCAATCTACTGTGCTTCTCGGTGAAGTGCTTCTACAAGTAAATGTCCTTTTCTGCTCTCTTATCTTAATCCTATATCTTTTTCCCAATCATTTTCATTGCGCCCACCTGATGCTAGCTGCTGCTTGCAAACATGAGAGAGTTGGCAGCGATGAGAAAAGCCAACCCCTGACAAAATAAGCTATGATTTTTCGTCGTCAAACTTTTTATTATAAATGTGAATGCTTTCTTCTTTCACACCGTGCTCTTTTATTCGGAAATTTAGTGCATCAGCAAATATCATAATCTCCATTAATCAATGAAATCATCTTTGTTAACCAAAAAATAATGAAAAGACTACTTAGTCTTCTATCATATAAAAAAAATGATAGGCAATAATGTAATTTCACAGGTCCAAATTTTATTATTTTTTATTAAAGCCTCACATACAGATGATGTTAAAATACCTCAAATATTTAAAAAAATTAAAAAAAAATTAAACAAAAACCTTCAACTCCACCCACGTTCTCTTTCTCTCTCCTTCTCTCCCTCTCCCTCTCATTTTCTAAAAAAAATATGTTCATACACACAAAGTGTGCAGACAAATACTAGTAACATATGAATAAATCTTGGATCTTAGTTTTAGTATGAAGACATATATTGTGTGAATCAGATAATTAGGCAGTTGTTCGAACAATAGAAAGTAGGTATCCCCATGTGACTATATATTTGAAATTCAATTCGATACTATTGTTAAGGTCGGTGACCATGATTATATAAGGAATCACATGCTTGACATCAGTGTCACGCCGATGCATTGCATAAACAATATGACCGACATGGGTTTCAGTTGGGGATAAACCTTTGTAAGTGAGTGGAACAATCCACCTTGCATGATTGTCAAAAAATCTTGTTAGTCAACTATCTCTCGCAGGCTCACGAGCCTTCAAACCAAAATACACGAACGATGTTGCTCTGTGTCTCTTGTCGTGGGATGATCTAATTAGAACGGCTGTATCCAAGTATCTCTGTGAGAAGAAACGTAAATAAGTAATTATTTTGGGCCAAGACTCAGAAAGAAAGCCAACCAAATTCCAGCCCCACCTAAGCAAATACCCAAAAACCCAAGGGCCCCAAAGCAGACAAACCCACGCAAGTACAGAAAAGCAGAGGGTTTAACAGATAGAAACACTATTGACCAAAACAAATGGAAACACTTCCAGCCTTGTGAAGATTCGAATCTTTCCCATCGAACATTCCAAAACAAAACTAAATGCGGATCCGACGGCTGGAAAATTCCTTCCCGACCCAAAAATTCCAAAGCATAATTCCAGCATCCAGACACCAATATAGCCAGCTCCCCACACATTTGCCAACTCAACGGTCACAAATCTCACCACCGCCAAAAAACGTCGCCAATTCCTCAAAAAATCGTTTCTTATTCCTTCAGCTTATAACCCCTGTTTCTCTCTGGACCAAACTTTCTCCTCCGCCGGAAAACCATCGTTTCCGGTGGCGGGAAAGCCAATTTGTCCGTTGACGGCAACTGGGTTTTTCTTAAAGTTCGAGTCTTTGTGCGTTATTAATTTAGTTATGATGTCCGTGGCGTCGCCGAGAAAGTCAATAACAGAGAAGGTGTTTGAGAGGGTTGGCGGGTATTCCTACCTGAGCAGCTACCTCAAGAACAACGGCGGAAGCCACAGAAGCCAGAGCCACCACCGCCACAACCACCACAAGGCGTGCGATATCGACGAGAGTGATGACGATTATTACGAGGATGAGGGGACGATGGAGCTCGTGCAGATTGGAGCTGAGCGGACCAAGAACGTCTTGATTCTCATGAGCGATACCGGCGGCGGCCACCGCGCTTCCGCTGAGGCCATTCGTGATGCCTTCCGTATGGAGTTTGGTGACGAATACAGGGTAATTGCTGATCTGGGTTCTTGATTTCTCTTCTGAATTTTCTTGGGTTTTCTTCTGATCAAAATTTAAAGGTTTTTATTTAATTTTATTTTATATCGTTTTTTAATTTGCATCTGACTCTTTTTTGTTCTTGAAGTTCATAGTTTAATTTGAATCATCTTTGCCAAAGTTTTTGCCTTTTTCTACTCGGAAATATCTGCATACATGTAGAGAGAGAAAGAGAGCATTTTTATTCATCTTTCCATATTCTTTGTTCCTGCAATTATTCATGAGTCATTTATTCGATGTTTCAGATATTTGTGAAGGATGTGTGGAAAGAGTACACAGGTTGGCCGTTAAACGACATGGAGAGGTCGTACAAATTCATGGTGAAACATGTGCAGCTGTGGAAGGTTGCATTTCACAGCACCTCTCCTCGATGGATCCACAGAGTCTATCTCGCTGCTATAGCCGCCTACTATGCCAAGTACGTTCCCTTACCTCCTTCCGCTGCTTTTCGCTTTCAGTTCAACGAATACCCCATCAATAATTCTGCAAGTGGAGAGAAACTTCGGTAGAGTTGCCCTTATGTTGGGCGTTCGTGAGAGGTGCCCTACAGAAGGTGTGTTCGGGGGCTCCTACCGAATTAGTCACAAATAATCCCATTGAAGTTCGATAAAGCATGATATTTAGTTGTAATCAATTGAAGGAGCATTTTACAACTTCTACTTGTGCTTTAAGGTTTTATTTTCTCTTTGAAATGATTCTTAATCATCTGCTTTTCTCCTATTCAACTTTTAGAGACTTCAACTAATTGGTGGAGAATCTGATTCTAATCTTCATTTTTACATTGATTAGCTAATTAAGTACTAATTAGTGAAGTGTTTTAACTGAAGGGAGGTGGAGGCTGGTCTAATGGAGTACAAGCCCGACATTATAATCAGTGTGCATCCTTTGATGCAACACATTCCTCTGTGGGTGCTCAAATGGCAAGGCCTGCAGAAGAAAGTTATTTTCGTGACGGTTATCACTGACCTCAACACCTGCCATCGTACATGGTTTCATCCCGGGGTCAATAGGTGCTACTGCCCATCACAGGAGGTAGCGAAAAGGGCTCTAGTAGACGGCCTTGACGAGTCTCAAACATGTGTCTTTGGCTTGCCCATCCGACCCTCTTTTGCCCGCGCGGTTCTCTCCAAGGTGTGTAGTGTTGTATGCTTGCAACCCATCTGAAAATGTGTTTGTATGAATGAAGGTCGATATTGAGTGTTTGATTACTGAATTTTCTTAATTGTGTCCTTTTTTGCTCCCTCTAATTTGCGGTTGCGTAGGATCAACTCAGAGAAGAACTCGAAATGGACCCTGACTTGCCTGCGGTTCTGCTCATGGGAGGCGGCGAAGGAATGGGACCTGTAAAGGAAACTGCAAGGGCTCTCGCAGAAACACTCTTTGATAAAGAAGCTGGAAAACCGATAGGGCAGCTGATCATCATATGCGGGAGGAACAAAACCCTCACTGCCACGCTTGAGTCCGATGAATGGAACATACCAGTGAAGGTACAAATTAGTCCTTGCTTGTTAAAACATGTTGTCTCGACAACTTTGACGCAGTTTTTGTCAAGATCTCGATGTAGGATTTTTACATTCTTTGAATTTTCAGGTTAGAGGATTTGAGACACAAATGGAAAAATGGATGGGAGCTTGTGATTGCATCATAACAAAGGCAGGACCTGGCACAATAGCAGAAGCATTGATCAGGGGACTTCCTATTATCCTCAACGACTACATTCCCGGACAAGTGAGTGATGATCATGCATATTCTTTCCTTCTTGCGCGATTTGTTTCAACATTTCAATTAACATCTCCGCTTCGATTGACAGGAAAAGGGCAATGTGCCTTATGTGGTGGACAATGGGGCCGGCGTCTTCACCAGAAGTCCCAAGGAAACAGCAAGGATTGTAGCGGAATGGTTCAGCACCAAAACAGACGAACTCAAAATGATGTCGGAGAATGCACTTAGACTAGCGCAACCTGAGGCTGTGTTCGACATTGTCAAGGACATCCACGAGCTTGCCCTCCAACGTGGTCCTCTCACGAACATCCCTTACATGCTTACATCGTCGTTTTCGAGTTTAATTGATTGATACCTGGGGTTTAATCTTTTAATTTGATAATTCCCAGTAGTAGAAGGTCATGCTATGTACAGGTACAATTAGTTTCTAATATCATCCATCATTCTTTGGCCGCAGTGGTTGTAAATTATAATTAAGACTTCAACCTCTGGTGTGTTTTAAGATTTGTGATTTTCTTTGTTTCTTTTAAATTTTTAAATTTTAGGATGTTGAAAGTTTAGATTAATACGGAAAACTTTGCGCGAAACCGGGTTTTTAAGATTCATACAGTGAACCCTACTTAGTGGGATAAAGCTTTGTTGTCGTTAAGTTATGATTAATATGGATAGGATGGTGCCGAAGTTGACGATGTTGTATATATCAATATGTTTGCATTGTTATGCTTTGTGTTTTTGCTTCAAAGTTAACTCACTTGAGGCTTCAAAGCATGCCAAAAGTGGTATTGTCTGTAAGAAACTTTTACCCCAAGTATCTTCCCTTGGCCTCTTCAAAGCATGCCAAAAGTGGTCTTGTCTGTAAGAAACTTTTACTCCAAGTATCTTCCCTTGGCCTTTAACTATCGGCATCGTCAAGCTTATTTAAGCGGTATTTGAATCTAATCTAAATTACATGTAGGATTTATTCAATCGATATTTAAATATAATCTAAATTACGTATAAGAGAATTCAAGTTTAAATGCAGAAAAAGGAATGCATTATTCCATCCAACAAACACCAAGTTTGAATTGAACCATGCTGTCGCAACCACGTTGCAAACATAATTTCTCGTGGGCCCAACGGAAAGAAAGTGACTTTAGCACTCCGGTTCTCCTCCTAAACTTGGATGTAAACACAGAAAAATAATAATGTGCGGAAATCATTTCAAACACGAAATTAAAAGTTTGGTATTATAAATAATTGTGTTACAAAATACTTTAATGATTTAGCTAAACATAGTGGTGTGGTGTCACGTGGTTTAAGAAATCGGAAAGAGATTTTCTCCAGATCCCTTCTTTCTACTCTACCAAATTAAGGGATTTGTGCCATTGAAATTTAATTAAACGGCTACAAACAGATGCCCATTTTAAAAGTTATAATAACTTCAGTAGTTGGATCAATTTTCAATGATACGGATCCTTTAATTTGATAGATTAGAAGGAATGGATCTGGAGATGATGCCTTTCCTAAGAAATGAAAGGCTCAAAGCCGTGTGGGTCTCATCCCTAAATCAGGCAGCTCATTGGTTTGGGTTTTATAGTCAATAAAAAAAAATGGGAAATACTTTTCCTCACCCTCTAAAGTGGGAGATATTTTTTCCACTTATATAATAATATGTGGTGTCACACCGTGTTCTGAGTACATTGAATTTTTTTTTTCTTTCTAAAATGTGAAGATGCTCATTCTGTATTGTTTATTGTTAAATTAGTCTAAATTTTGAAAATTGTATTTTATGAGAGATCTTTTAATATGTCATGAACACATGCCGATACATCATGGAGAAAATTGTCCCTTGTATAATGACATATGGAGTCTCTGCTGCCCCTGTTCGAAACACATTGAAAAATCTTTTGTGTTTTAGATCAATTAAACTAAACTATTCTAAATGTTAATCAATGAGGTGGTGAGCTCCCTTCCACTTTAGGAGAAATTTGTTAGTATGCAGGAAAACATGATTTAGTACATCAAGTGCCATAACACAAGGGGTTGAATTATTTTTTTTTCTAAATTTCCAACCATTTGTATTATGACATTTAATATCTCTAATGGTGTTTCCGCATATTGAATAATTTCTCCCACTTCATGAGTAATAAAAAATGACCCAAAAAATTCTAGGCTGGCTTCGGTCCCCCTCCAACTCGAACACTTGATCTTCCATCTCAGCTATCTTGTCTCTTTTTGACAGGCTTGGTTGTTCACAGTTGGGGGAAAATGTCATTCACCGAAAAAGGAGACAAATGTTGGATTAATTTTGTAATTTTGTTTTTTTAAGCATAGACTTTTGACTAAGATTGGTAGTGGAGACCTAATCACCATTTTAAATTTAATTTGATTGTACATAATTTTGGAGGACAAAAAGTGACATCACAACATCGGAAAGGGATCCTATTCAGATTCCTTCCACCTAATCCTTATGATCCACAAATTTGGGCTCTTGAAATTTAATTCAACAGTTAAAATTATTATAACTTTTAATGGGCCCCCTTATTTGTAGCCGTTGAATCAAATTTCAAAGATTTGGATTTGTGGGTCATGAGGCTTAGGTGGAAGAGATCCAGAGAATATCTCTTTCCCACAACATTAAAATAAGGGACCGATCCATAAAAATAAAATATTTATTAAAAAAAACTTAAAACAAGGGCAACATAGAAATATTAGAGGCAAACAAGGACACAAAAAAAACAGATAATGATATCACATATTCAATATGACATCTTTCTTAACTAATTTTGTAAGAAGTATTTTGGTGTTTGCGTCGTTTTTGTGTTGTATCTATTAACCTAACGAGTCGTGTCGTGTCTAACTTATTATCTTAATGTGTTCTTAACAGGTGATTCGATTCATTAATGAGTTGTGTTATTTTGTATGGAGTTAATGGTTATACAAGAAATTGCCATTCTAATGCATGGATCTGGCAAACAATATCTCATCAAGTTCTTAAACAGATGACCCAATAACATCCAATTCGTTAAAAAACTTTTAACAAGTAACATGATAACGACCAAATCCTTAACTAGTTGATTCAAAACCTATTATTTTCGTATAGTGTAGCGAATTAACTGGTCATGCAAAATTACTAGGATTCTCCAAGAAAGCACTTCCATGCCCCAACCACAATCTACACATTTGGGCCTTTTTAGTTGTTCAACCCAATATATGTTGAACAAATGGGCCTCATGTTTGTGATTGAACAAAGTAAAAAACCCGGGTGGCGCGTAGATGTGATTGACGGTTAAGATGGCGAGTTGCAGCGTACTCTCGAAAGCGAAGTATCACCGATTCACCTTACAGGATCCAACTCCCTTCTTCCTTCCTCCCACCCACCAAATGCCAGTTCTCTGAGAACTCTCCCTCCTCCTCTAATCTCTGAAAGCTGAAAGCTTCAACATTTCCAAATCCCCATTGGAGATATTATTCGATCAGGTACTGAATTTACTGCCCAATATTTACTCCTTTAATATTAATTTTTCTTTCTGTTTTCCTGGTAATTGATAAAATCTAGAGAGAGAATGGTGTTTGGTAGCTGAGAAAATCTAGAGAGTAAGAGAAAATAACGAAACCGAATTCCTTTTCAATGATCGAGCAATAATAACTACAATTTATGTTCTCTATCAATTGCAGTCATAAGCTTCTTATTTGGGTTATTTTTCTGTTTTTTAATTTTAATTTTTCGTCATTTTTTCACCTAAATTATTGTGTAATGTCTTCATCGTTGAACATTTTCAGGGACCCAATTGGTTGTTTGGAATCAAAGCCGTGGTGATACGTCGTCGTTTGGCTCGGAAAGATGGTAAAGACTCAATCTTTTTTTCCTAATTTTCAATTTTATGCTCATCATTTTGATAGATTGTTGAGGAACATTAGCTGGTAATCGTCAAATTTTCGGTTTATCAGAGGAGCATTGTCTGTTGATCGTCAAATTTTCGGTTTTGATACATGTTTCTTTGATACACTAAGGAGAGAAATAATTGTTAGTGAAAGATTTGGCTAAAACAACACTTGACAACAACTATGGTGGCAGGTTTATCACTCTAGTTTCGTCAACGATGAAGGAATTACTAAAGCTTGTGGATGCCCTCTGTTGCCGTTGAAAAGCCACATAAAGGGACCTGCCCCGGTTTCAGAGCAAGGTCTGATATGTGTACAAACACATTCATATTGTTAGCTGATGAAATTGTTTGATTTGGTTGTAGTTTTTGTTGTTGATACGAGGAATCTTCTTGTGTGCAGATAGAACGGATATTGTTGATGAAGCGATTTCATTCTTTCGCGCTAATGTTTTCTTTAGGAACTTTGATGTTAAGAGCTCAGCCGATAAGCTCCTCATTTATTTGACATTTTATATCAATGTGGCTTTGAAGCGGCTTGAGGGTTGCAGAACTTTGGCTGAAGGAACCAAGGCCATTATTAATTTGGGACTAGAAAAAGTTCCTGTTCCTGGAGAGCCGAGTTTCCCTTTCCCGGGACTTTTCCCTCTTCCTCAGTCCCAGCAGGAAGCAGGTGAAGCTCTTTCTCATCTGTTCTTACATTTAGTTGCCAGCAAAGCTGATTCATATTATTTACTCTTATATGTTACTTGAACTTCGGCTTAATTATCTAAGGGTTTTGTTACCAAAATAGACGTTTATTCAAAAAGCCGATTAAAATTATAAGCTACTCTTATATGTTAATTGAACTTCGGCTTATTTGATGTTAATTGAACTAGGGTTTGGTTTTTGATTAAGGTACTCTTGATGTCTTCTCTGTAACTACCAACTTAATGGATATTGATGAACATAAAAGTCGAGCTGATTTGAAATATTCCAGCAGTTAACATTTCGAACAAACGCTATCACTCTAGTTCTCGTGAACTCTCACAACACAAGGAGCCCTACATTTGTTTGCATGCTTGACTTGCCTTGTTTGTTTTCAGTATTGGTTGATTTTTGACTTTCTGAGTATATGACCTTGACGTGCCTTTATATTTCTCGGCATGCCTCCCAGGTTACGGAGTATGCCTTTATTTCTTTCATAGAAGGTCTTGAATCAACGGACTTGTTGCTAGACTATCAATTCCATGTAAATCAAGAAACAGACCCTCCACAGGGAATGTTTTCGTTAGAATTTCAAATGTTTAGCTACAAACTGAACTTGAATTGTTGGTAACTAACGTGTGTTTTTCGTCTTTTGATCTTCAGTTTCACTCTTTTACATATATACACTCTCTTATTTGTCAAAGTATTGAATGGCTGCAGAATTGCTGAGGAATTATTTGAAGCAGATACGGGAGGAAGCAAGCGGGAGATTATTGAGCGTTGCTTATAGACCGAACGGGACTCCCAATAAGTGGTGGTTGGCGTTTGCCAAAAGGAAATTTATGAACATCATTGTTCCATCGGCCTGAATCGAATAGCTGCTGTTGTGGATTCTACACGGTCAGTAGTCTAGTGATGTTGAGCCACCAGATTACCTTGCAAATCAGAGATACCTCTTTCCGCAACTTACGGTTTATTCTCTCTCTTTCTTTTCCTACAGAGTCCTGTATTCGAATAAAAAAACCGACTATTCTATCGACGATGAGTTATCTGACAACTACTCTTTCATGCCAAGTTACGAAAAATGCACCAGAGTACACACAAAATACGCCCATGTGAAGGATATTCATTTCATACTCAGTCATTTGTTTGTATTTTGACCAAAATATGTTCTCTCTAGCATCCCTGTCATCGACCCGCTTCACCTTCAGGAAATGATACAGTGCGCGGAGGACCATGTCATTCGTACTTTCATAGACGGAGTAGTGATGACGTGGTCCTCCGTATTGGCACAAGGATTCTTCTCAAGGTTTATATTACTCTATAGGGATAGATTCAATTGTTTGCTGGAAAAGGAAAACAACACGATTTGTAGTAATGATTTGAGATTAAATTTGTGTAGGCAAATCTACATGAGCTAATGGGCGAAATCGTAGTCCCAAGCAATCCATAGGTTTACAGTCCAATCCCATGGCTGTGAGCCAACAAAATGATTCGGGCGGTGGTCAACCGTCTAGTGCAAGTTTAGGCACATTTCTTATTTTCCAAGTGTTGAGAGGCTAATCAGAACGATGATTAGCCGTCTAGCGCTTAAGCGAGGCTTAGGAGATCCTAAGCGGAAATTTTTAGAATAATGTTGATATTTTTTCTTTCTCAAAATCAGTGTCGATGTGATGGTGAGCATAAACCAACAATTTAAGATGATTATCGAAAATGCACTATGTAACTTGATATTCATTATCACATGAAATGATGAAAATGATTTAATGATTCGAACTTGAGAGCTTCCGTTTGTAAGTTACTGATTTTTTAGTACCAATTCTTAAAGAAGCTGAACTGCCACTACGGTACTCATCACACTCCATGACTCTCACTCCTATTCCCTTTAATCTCAGCCGTTGATCTGTCCCCCCATCCATGAACCTTGGGTCCTTTAAGCCTAGGGTTTCCACCATTTTCACCCCAATCCCCGCCACCGCCACCATCATCACCGTCCATGTCGTCGATGACCAAGATCACTCATCCCCGCCAACAGATCAACGGCCAGATTTTGCCCCATCCCTGTCCCCACCTAATCGAGTTCCTCTCCAACAACGGCTCCAAGCCCTTCCGCGCCTTACAGGACTGTCTCCGGGTCAAACCGCCCGGTGGCCGCGCCTCCATCCGCCGCGATCCCAAGGAAGTCCCGCGCTGTGGCGCGTGCGGGGAGTCTGCGCGTCCCAGGCTCTATGCGTGCATCACGTGCGCTGCCGTCCACTGTCACGTGCCATCCGGACCATCCCACGCGGCGGCTCACGCCCTCTCGATGCGTCCCGGTCACGAGATCGCCGTCGACGTGGACCGAGCCGAGCTCTTCTGCTGCGCGTGTAGGGACCAAGTCTACGATCGCGACTTAGACGCCGCAGTGGTCTTGGCTCAGACCGCCGCTTCGACGCTAGCATCCTCCGCCGCGTCAACGGTCCAGCAGTACGCGCCGGAGAATCTCCGGAAGCGACGCCGTATCGATTACAAGCCGTGGATGCCTGATCTGAGAGAGCAATACTTGGTGGGAAGAAATTCCAGTCCTCTAAACGGCGACGTTTCAGATTTACCTTGGGGATTGCGCGGGCTCAACAATTTGGGAAACACGTGCTTTATGAACTCGGTTCTGCAGGCATTGCTCCACACGCCGCCGCTGCGGAACTACTTCCTCAGCGATCGGCACAACCGCTACTTCTGCCAGAAGAAGAGCAATGCTGAGAACGCGGGGAAGAAAGCCACCGCCAATAATATTGAAAGTGGCGGGAACAAGGGTGCTGCGCGTGTGTGCTTGGCCTGCGACATGGACGCCACGTTTTCGGCGGTTTTTTCAGGGGATCGGACGCCTTATAGCCCCGCAAAGTTCTTGTACAGGTTTGTACTCTGTACAAATCGCATTTTAATTACAATGTAGGTGGTCAGGGATGCAGCGATGGCGAAAATATTGTTTGATTTTTTGGGTTTTTGCTGATTTGTTGTTGTGGTAATGCCGTAGTTGGTGGCAGTACGCTGCGAATTTGGCGAGTTATGAGCAGCAGGACGCGCATGAGTTCTTCATTTCTATGCTTGATGGGATTCATGAGAAGGTGGATAAGGATCAGCGGAGACCCGAGAGCCAAGGTTAATTCTTTCTTAATCCGAAACTTGTCTCTGTTAATTTTCATGTTGTGTTTTATGTGCATTTTACTTGAAATTCATGGGGATATCATAACATACAATTACCAAAGAACCAAATTTGAATGTGTATTGTTTCTGAATGCATGTATGGAATTTGAATCAGTAGGCCCCTGTGTATTTAATTTCTTTCTGGAAGCTCCTATAGTTGAAACCGCATTCGATTTTGTGCAAGTTGATTATTTTCTGAGAGCTTTTGAAGTTCATTTAATATTGAAATTTGTAGATAGAATCCAGTCTCAGTCATAGAGCATAGAGTAATATAAATTGTTGATTTGAAAAAAGAAGAAGATTTTATTGAATTATCTAGTTTTACTAGCTAGGGAGTTGTTGGCTTTGGGTTTGTACATTTCATAAATCGTAATTGCTTTTCATTAGCCAGCTTAGAATTTTATATTAATATCGCGTCTTTAATTTATGAGTGGCCGCATAGTGGTAAACTAGTGGTGTGAACCCGTTGATGGCTTGAGAGCTTCCCGTAATACTTCTCTCTTATATCAGAAAATGAGCTGATCATGAACTTTTACAAGATGAAGTGAAAAATTAGGTGCTATGGCAATATTGCAAGACAACTAACATAAGAGTTCCTAAGGAGCAGTTGACTTCCCCAACATATGTATTTTTTTATAGTTTTCTTTAAACTAAGGTGACTTTAACATGTAAATGCAGGGTGTGGGTTTAGGTATCTTGCTTGTTGCCCTAGGAGTTGACAAGTGCTCAAAGATTTAGGGCTAATTTTCAACCTCTACCTGCTGGCCTGAAGACGTTATCCGCTTCACCCAGTAAGTCAACTTTCATTTAGCTGTCTTGGGTTTATCTAGCTTGGGAGTTCTCGTATTTCATAATCCTCAGTTAACTCAACCTTTTTGCCATGTTTAGGGTTTAATTATAACAAGGATCCCAAACCCAGAAAATTGGAAGATTCTTTTAGGTTGGCAGCCAGAAAAAGTTTTCTCATCAGTCCTTGTGGGAGCTCCAATTCAATCTTTTCTTGCATCATCAGCCATCTTGTTGATTTCTACCTACTTGTTGGCATAGGTTATTGTCTGACTTAACTACGTTTTCTTATCATCTTGGATACTGGGTATTTTCTGTTGCCGTCCAACTTTCCTCTTGTCTGTTGCCGCTATTGCTTCTTATGACCTCATGTTGCTTGTTAATATAGTTTTTCATCATCACTGCTTAGAAAGTAAGGGGGTGCATTTTCCAAATTTTGTTGACTAATCTGGGACGTATAGGATAGCTGACTGATCTGGGACGTATAGGATGTAGAGGCTGTACACATTATCAGTAAAGCTTTCAGTGTAATTGTTATGTTAATGTTTGTCAGATTGAGATGGATTCCAAGGCATTCTATCTAGTGTATCCAGACATTAAATTTTTTTTGATATGCATCTTGACATGGATCTTCACCTGTATTTTTCCATGTACTTATTGAAAGGGAAAAAAATGTGATTCTGATAAGTTTTCATTTCTTTTATAGTGCAGGCAATGGAGATTGTTGTGTTGCTCATAGAGTTTTTTCTGGTATCTTGCGATCTGATGTCATGTGTATGGCCTGTGGTTTTACGTCTACAACATATGACCCATGTGTGGACATCTCACTGGATTTGGAACCTAACCAAGGAGGTTCTGCAAAGACTGGGTCCACGAAGTCAAGTCATTCTTGCAATGGCGAGGCGGATTGCATGAATTCCAGCCAAAACTGTGGAGTATCTACCCTCATGGGATGCTTGGACCGTTTTACGAGACCTGAGAGATTGGGCTCTGACCAGAAATTTTTTTGCCAGCAGTGTCAGGTGAGGCAGGAGTCTCTCAAGCAAATGTCCATAAGAAAGCTTCCTTTGGTTTCGTGCTTCCATATCAAGCGATTTGAACATTCTTCGGTGAGGAAAATGTCAAGGAAGGTTGACCGTTATTTGCAGTTCCCGTTTTCACTCGACATGGCTCCTTATCTTTCATCTTCCATCTTGAGGAGCCGATTTGGAAATAGGATTTTGCCTTTTGATGGGGACGAGCCTGATGCATCAAATGACTTGTGTTCAGATTTTGAGTTGTTTGCTGTCGTCACTCACACAGGCAAGCTCGATGCAGGCCATTACGTGACTTACTTGCGATTGAGTAATCAATGGTACAAGTGCGACGATGCTTGGATCACACTAGTTAATGAGAACATTGTGAGGGCAGCACAGGGCTACATGATGTTTTATGTACAGAAAATGCTGTTTTACAAGGCAAGTGAGAAACCGGGTCCTGCGTAATTGATGAAATTTTGTTGCGTGAGATGAAAGATGGAAAAAACAAAGAAGGGAAAAGTATGGAAAATCACGGTGCGGATTGTTTGCCGGAGAACAAATGTTATGGAGCTGCTTCAGCCATGGGTTAAAGAAACCAGGCAGCTCTCTACGTGCTCGGAGCTCACCGAGGACGAGGATGGGGACGGGGACGAACTCTCAGATGGAGCGTAGTGAGCCTGAGTTTTTGGGGCAGTCCTGCATTTGGGAAAAGTATTTAATTCATAAGGTTGATATTGGTGATGGCTGATTATTTTCTCCTGGATCTTCTGTCACAGATGTTAACTGGTGACTAATATCGATGTCCAAATCCGCGAATCTCATCTTTATAGATATATCTAATGATATTTATTTGGAATTTGATTGTGGATTTTCCTTTACCCTAATCTTTGGCAGCAACATTCAGCCTCTCGTTTTCTCGTTATGCACTCTTCCTTGTAGTTATGTCATTGGATTCTCGTTTCATTTATTCAATCAATTCACAGGCTATCAAGGAGTGCATGGCCAGAAAATCGGACCGAGATTTAAAAGTCATAGAAGTGATCTTTGAGATTGTTCACTTTCAATCATTTTTGTCATTCAGTGAGAAATCAACATTAAAACTGGTAGTTTCTTCAATTTAACGAAGATTTTTCATAGAAGTACTAAAATATTTTGATTGACAGTGTACAATCTCATCAATCACTTTTATCGATTTTAAATCTTCAAGATTAAAGTGAGAAATCATGTCAATTTCAGAGACCATTTTGATTATAAAGCCAAAGAAATTTAGCCTTTGAAAATTAAAAAAAAAAAAGTAAAATTGTAGAAACGTTGAAATAAAACTTAGTTAAGGAGCTATGCATATCAATATATCGTCATAATTTACGTACAATTTCTTTGCAACATAAGTTGCAGAGAAAATAGGTAATTAAGTTTCAACTTCAAGCTTCAGCCACTCTAATTTACAACATCTTATGAGTTTTTGGTTCATGAGAGTTCGAGCCAAACTTGAGGGTTTTATTACGCTAGAAGAAACACCTCGACAACTATAAGTTTTATGCGCAGGGGAGAGTGTGTTACGTCACATAACGTTACACATATATTTTTGCTTCTTCAATTGTTCTCCTCCCTTTCTGATAGTTTTCCATAAAGATGTCCCCATAATTTTCCATCTTTCTGTACAATCTTGGCCTCGACTCATCCACCAACCCTTCAAAGGGTTCAATTTTATACGACTCCCCATAGCAGAATGCCGCCACCGATATCCTCTCCTTGTCTGGATGTATCACCACCTGGTGTACAGCGCCCTTGAATGCACCGTTGCTCAAGATCTGCGGTGTCACAAACAACAACTTACGTAAACCACGCGTAGTTTAGTAACACCACGTCAACACATAGTGTCGAGAACGTTTTTGATTTACCTCTACTTGGTCGCCAACTATGATGAGAAGCGCGTCAGGAACAATGGGAGCACGAAACCACTCATCACCTTTGAGAAATTGAAGACCTTCTACTTCCTTGTCTTGCAAGACATGGGTGATTAGGGATGAGTCTGAGTGTGATTTGAAACCGAGGACGAGATCAGGCCTCGGATATGGAGGATACAAGTTGAATCTGATATCCATGTTCCCATACAGGTCGGAAAAGCAGTTGTCCTCCAAACCCAATGACCTTGTCATGGCCTTGAGGACAGTTTTTGTTACTACATTTAACTCCATGACAAGTTGGTCTAAAGTCCGCCTGCAGAATGATTTGTGTCAAAGACGATATTTTAAATTACTTTAATCTACAGCCGACTGGCATAACACACGTCTGCAGAACAACGACAAGTTGATTACCTAAAAGATTCGGGATTTTCAGGCCAAACTTCGAGCTTGCGGTTGTCTTGTGGAAACACAGTAAGGTATAGTCTATCAGTCCAATCCAGTTTTTGTTGCTCTGTATAAACCACGTCGTTTCCATATCCTTGAACGTCGTTGCCTTGTCTCAAGTACTTCTTCTTATCTTCAACTGGTAGTGCAAAAAACTGCTTCGTAATCTCTCGGACCTCGTCTAAGAATTCTGGCGACATGCCGTGGTTTATTACCTGGAACACCAAATTAATTAAAGCAACCTCCAAACACAACATGACTTTTCTTTTTATCAAGTAGAGGATTAGGTGAGGTTAACTCTTTGGTAGCGGTTGCTCTCAAACTCGAACGAGAGAAGACCAATACTGACACATGGTTTACAAACACCAACATGATTTGCCTGGAACACCAAATTAACTAAAGCAACCTCCAAACACAACATGACTTTTCTTTTTATCAGTAAAGGATTAGGTGAGATTAGCTCTTCAGTAGCGGTCGCTCTTAAACTCAAACGAGACCGACACTGACACATGGTTTACAAACACCAGCATGATTTGCAATAATCACAAAAACAAAACGGTCATCAAACGAGACCTAAATTGTTTCAAAGTACAAGAAGTTTGAATATTTGAGACCTGGAAGCAACCCAATGTGTCAAGAGCTGATCTGAGTTTCTCATATTCATCTGCAGTAATTGAAGAAGCTGCGAGGAGAGCAAGATCAATAACTGGAACATCCAGTAACTGGGGAGGAGAAGCATCTGGGACTGGGACTCCACCATCTTCAACTTTATGGATATATTTCTCTGGCACCTGTTCCTCTTGGATGAGCACCTCCTGGACAGTTTTGCATCCGAACAACTCCATCTTGGCAAGCTTCTGTAATTTGAGCTGCAAATTAAAGATCTGCGTTCATTGCTTTCACTTCTTTGAAAGCACATCAACTTGGAAGGAAAACAAAAGAAAGAGGCTAAGGGAGTCATCCTATTTAAATATTGATCGTCTCTAGTATGTTTTGAATGGTATGAATGTTGTGCGAAATTAGCACTAAAGATACGAGAAAATTCCACCAATAAAGTAATGAAGATTACATAGAGATTAACTTTCAAACCCAAAACTGACATACATTCAATAACTCTCCCTCAAACAAAGAATGGAGAAGATGAAATTACATACCAAATCTCCTCTTTCAAAAACCACAAAAGTAACACTAATATCGAATTTGCTCAGAAGGATCAAAAGATCAGGGCAGCTGCTTCCTTATCTCTCTCGATTCTTTTCCTAATCGGTTGCTCTCTCGTCTTTGAAACAGAAGGCATCATGCCTTATATAAAGTATAGTGCTGCTGGAAATGCTCAAACTGAGATTTTTTATTGAATCCTCTGTCCACCTTATATTTTTATTACAAAATTTATAATATTGACACGAAAGTTTACCTTAAACTGTGAGTGAGACTTTTCTTGTGACACACCCCGATCCTAGAATCTGGGCGTGACAGGACCATTCTAAATTACAACACCCGCAGGTGAGTCCTACTTGATTGCACCTAGTACTTATGCTCTGAATATGTGTGTTTCACAATTAAACTCACTCTAGCATGTTAGTTGGATGTTATTGCTAGTGGTTGGTTTTTATTCCTTTGTATTTCTTTTATCCTTTATGCTTCCATGTCGCACTTATGGTTACGTCACGCTCACGTGACGGTCAACACGCCCTGATTCTAGGATCGAGGTGTGTCATCTTGAACTTTCAGACACCTTATAATTTCACGTCAATTGCTATGCCAATATTATAAAATATTGTGCTAAAAAAGAAAAATAGTATTAAAAATTCCACTTCCTGAGAATTCCTTGGCATTTCGCTTCCAAAATTGATGAGATCATGAATGATGATCAATTGGAATTATTGCCCACTCAGTTGCCCTACTTTGAGTCACGGGCTGAAGATTTTTTCCATCTTTTGGCAGTTATTGCCTGACCAATTTGAACGGGCAGCAACTCTCCAACTACTCAAAAGTGAAGTTTCTGTCATCCCTTTCAATTTCATTGTATATGTCAAACAAAAAAAAATGTTTCAAAAAAAAAATGATGAACTAGATCAACATCTACGAAATCCTTAATTATTATCGTTATTATTATTAACCTTAGTTTAAGAAGAAAATAAATTGATGATGTTAACAGTCATATATTAATGAAGAAAATAAATTGATGATGTTAACATTCATATATTAATAATACAAGCATAAAATGGCCTTCTTCTTGATAATGTATTAATAACACGTTGCTAATATTATCATGTTCACTATCAATATTATTGATCTCTCATGTCATGTTCATATAAGAATAGTTGTTTTGAAAGGTAAGCACATAAACTGTTTAGTCCCATACGACAAAATGCGATTGGATAGACTTAGTGATTTTTCCTCTTGTTTTTTTTCTTATGCTCTTCTCCTTTTAGTTCTGCCATCAGTCGTGGAGTTAGTATTCTTTGTGAGAGAAGGCCTTTCATATATGTATTGAGAGAAAAAATTTTGAACTCATAACAAGAGTAATTGAAGTAATCTTCACAAAACCGAAATACTCATTAAATTTAAGAGAAAAAAATCAAAAGAAGTGTATAATACAACTAAGTGGGAGGTAGATACCATGGTAACCCATAAAATTTTTGAATTATATGAAGAAAATACAAAGAAATTTGGTGTGAATTGTTTGACAGAAAAAAGGAGGGCAAAGAGGAGGACTGCAATTAATAGTTGATTAGGTTGCTTTAGAAATAACATTAAAGTCGATTTTGAAACCCATCCTTGAGTTTCACTGAACCACAAAGACAAGACAAACAAAACTGTTAAAAAAATATAAGACATCATTGTGTCGGCCCAGAAAATGAGATTACGAAAAACACTAGACAAAACATGTCGACAACTATAAGTTTTATACGGGGGAGTAACGTTACACATTATATAATTGCTGCTTCCATTGGTCTCCTCCCTTGCTGATAGTATTCGAAATAGATGCCAACATAATTTTTCACCTTCTTGTACAATCTTGGCCTTGACTCGTCGACCAACCTTTCAAAGGGTTCAATCTCTTTATCCGACTCTGGTATGCAGAAGGCCGCCACCGATATCCTCTCCTTGTCGGAATTTGTCACCACCTTGTGTACAGGGCTCTTGAATATTCCATTGCTCAGTATCTGTGGCATCACAAACAACAACTTATGTAACCACAAGTAGAATAGTAACACGACGTCTTATGGTGACTGTTACGCCCAAAATTTCTTGCCACAAAATACATAATGTTCAGAACACTTTGATTTACCTCTACTTGATCACCAACGTTGATGAGAAGCGCATCAGGAACAATGGGAGCTCGAAACCACTCGTCACCTTTGAGAAATTGAAGACCTTCAACTTCCTTGTCTTGCAAGAGAAGGGTGATTAGGGTTCCGTCTGCGTGTGCTTTGACACCAAGGACGAGATCAGGCCTTGGACATGGAGGATAAAAGTTAAATCTGATGTCCATTTTCCCTTGTTCTCCCCCATACAGGTCGGAAAAGCAATTGTCCTCCAAATCCAATGACCTTGCCATGGCCTTGAGGACTGTTTTTGTTACCACTTGCAATTCCGTGGTATATTGGTCTAAAGTCCGCCTGCAATAATGTTCAATAACATTAACATGATTTGTACCAAAGACGATATTGTAAACGACTTTAATCTACGGAGAGAGGAATTTGAACTCAAGTCTTAGGTGGTGGAGGCACTGCCCTGGCCAACTGCATAACACACGTCTGCACAACAGAGACAAGTTGATTACCTAAAAGATTTGGGGTTTTCAGGCCACAAGTTGAGCTTACGGTTGTCTTGTGGATACACCGAAAGGTATAGTCTATCACTCCAATCCAGTGTTTGTTGCTCTGAAAAAACCATGTCGTTTCCATATCCTTGAATGTCGTTGACTTGTCTCAAGTACTTCTTCTTATCTTCCACTGGAAGTGCAAAAAATTGCTTTGCAATCTCTCGGACCTCGTCTAGGAATTCCGGCGACATACCGTGGTTTATTACCTGGAACACCAAATTAATTAGCATGATTTACAATAAACATACTCTTTAAATTTATTTTAATGCAAAATTTGTTTGAAACACCAAACTAATTAAACCAACCTCTAAACATAACATGATTTTTCTTTTTATCAAATCGAGGATTATGTGAGATTAGCTCTTCAGTGGTCGCAAGGCAGAAAGTGCCCCTCTCAAACTCGAACGAGAGAGGAACGACACATGGTACAAACACCAAAATGATTTGCAATAATCGTATAAACGAAATGGTATCAAACGAGATTTATATTGTTTCAAAGCACAAGTTGTTTGAATAGTTGAGACCTGGAAGCAACCCCATGTGGCAAGAGCTGATCTGAGCTTCTCAAGTTCATCGGCAGAGATTGAAGAAGCTGCGAGGAAAGCAAGATCAATAACTGGAACATCCATCAACTGGGCAGCAGAAGCATCTGGGACTTGGACTCCACCATCTTCAACTTTATGGATATATTTCTCTGGCACCTGTTCCCCTTGGATGAGCACTTCCTGGACAGTTTTGGAACCTAATAACTCCATCTTCGCAAGCTTTTGTAATTTGAGCTGCAAATTAAAGATCTGCTTTCGGTGCTTTCACTTCTTTGAAAGCACATGAACTTGGAAGAAAACAAAAGAAAGATGCTAAAAGAGTCTTATCCTATTTAAATATTTATCATCTCTAGGTAATGGTCAATTTTATCAACTCTTTGCATATCTTTTTTTAAATATCAACTCTTTGCATATAAAATTATGCAAGTTTAGAAATGTAGATGATATATTTGACCGTTTGGTGGCCTCTAAATATTCAAAACAATGGAAATCTCGACTTTTGTAAAGGGAGATGATTTTATACACCTCTGCTTGTGCTCATTCAATCGGAAGAATAGAAATAAATCGAAGTTAATAGAGACAGAAAATAGGTGTATAAAAATCAATTGCATTTGTAAATACAGGTACCAGCCCGAAATGGGGATGCGGAAGACTTATCTACACTTTTCAGCGCTATTATGATATCTTGTGTCAATAACACGATGAAGGTACGGGGGTTATAGTTATAGGTAATTCTCTCCCAGTGGTGATCCCTTTCAAAACAATACAAGCTAAAGTGGCATTTTATGGTGATTAACTTTCACTAAAACAGATTAAGCAAGATGAGAAAAGGTTACACAACTCATTGTCTTTTTAATACGATTCCAAAATTGATGAGATCATCAATGATGATTAATTTGGAATTTTGTTGAGTTACGTGGAACCCATTTGTCACCCCAGAAAGACACTGAAATTGGATTTTTGCCGTCTAAAGATCCGTTCACAGCAACACTTGAACTACTCAAAAGTAAAGTTGTTGTCATAACTTGTGTAATCAATTTTTTTTGTCAAACTAACTTACTTTTATTAACTAAAAAGACAAGTACACAGAAAAGAGACCTCAAAAGGTTACTCATAACCTAAATACAAGCCCAACAGCAGATAAAAAAATACAATAGATAGATGTAAAAGTGACCAATTGAACAACAACTAAAAAACCTAAGATTGAAATGGAAACCAACAGCAATCAGATGCGCCTCCATTGCAAGGCCACCACCACCACCAAGAGAACGAACCAATGGAACAACTGGATCAACGGAAAATAGGGGTAAACGAGCCACCTAAGCAGTGAGGGATCCCGTAAAAACTCATTTCGAGGAATGGGCCAGACCACTCCTATAATCCTACCAAATAGTGCTAAAAGCACTTTCACAGCCACCCAACACGTGAGGAGAAGCACACGGGCCGAGTAGCAGAGGCCAATGATTGAGGACATGTGACGTAAAGTACCACCAGAACAAGAGAGAGCCATGAAGGTCTAGATCTAAGACCAGCTCATGGAAATTGAGAAAAAGTTCAAAGAACGAAGCTCAAGGAAAGCAAAAAAAAAGACCAAAAGAGAAAAAAAGTTCATAAATTAAAGAGTGGAAAAGATAGGGAAAAGATGAGGGGAAAAAGGAAGAAGCATAGGGTGGAGATGGATGGGAAAGAAGGAAAGAGGGCTACTATAATATCTCGTGTCAATAACACGATGGAGTTACGGGGGTTATAGTTATAGGTATTCTCTCCCAGTGGTGATCCCTTTCAAAACAATACAAGCTAAAGTGGCGTTTTATGGTGATTAACTTTCACTAAAACAGATTAAGCAAGATGAGAAAAGGTTACACAACTCATTGTCTTTTTAATACGATTCCAAAATTGATGAGATCATCAATGATGATCAATTTGGAATTTTGTTGAGTGACGT